ATTCGCTTGCATACCGGCCGGCAACATCAGCCGGCACCTTGAAAGGTCAATCAGCTTGTGCTGAGTGCTGCTCTGCATTGATTTGCAGTCTCCTAGTCCCAGTGTGCAGGGAAGGGAGGTATTGGGGCCAGTCATTCACCGCACTATGGTCTAGTTTTCCATATGTCAATACATCTATGTATGCGTGCCGGCATGCATGTGTGATGTGATGTGATGTGACCTGATGTGATGCACCATAGCGTAAGGGTCACGTAGCACAATGTAGCGTACTGTACGTCAATGTGTGTGAGTGTGTGGCGGTAAGCAACGTATGGCATGCTGTGCTATGCTTTGCTATGTATTTCAATTCAGTGCTTTGTAAGGCAACAATGCAATACAATGCAATGTGTGTTTGCTTGCATGTATTTATGCCAGGTCATGGCATGCCATGTCATGTCATATTTGCCAATGTGTGTACGTATGCGCACATGTATGTTTGTTTGGCCGTGTATGTAATGCATGTAGTCTATGTCAATGTGATGTCACGTAACGCAACACAATGCAATGCAATGGATTTTATGTTGGGTTATATGCAATGTAGTGCACGTACTGTATGTGAATTAAGTTTGCATGCGTGTATTTGTTTGAGTTTAGGTGATCTGATGTGATGTGATGTAATGGTTGCTTGCATGTATTCAATGCGCTATGATACAATTTTATGTGCCTTTTTTAGTGTGATGTCCTATGTACACTTGTCATAAATGTGACGGCGTAATGTCATGCCATGTCATGTGTCGTACTGTATGGATGTGTGAATTCTGGATATACATGGAGCACTCGCCTTGGACTGTCTTTGGGCTGCATGCCGTGTGCAGGGCAAGTATGTGCGCGAATGTGTTTGAGTGTATGCTTGTTTGTCCTGGAGGCTGGGGCATGCCTTCAGCCTGCACCCATATCTCTCCATGCCCCAAGGATTCGAGCGCATCTCGCTTCAGAAGGGCATGCGCTGGCCACGGCACTCAGACGCGTCGTATCGCGTGCGTTGGGTTACTTGGGTTAAGATGCTGATCAAACAACAGGAGTTAAGATGCATTCTTTGTGGGCGAAAAGTTTGCAGGTCGGCGATTCGCAGTATGGTGGACCTGTGCCACAGTGGTGGGTGCCTCAGATGGTTCGTTGGTTCATGGCGCTTGCTTGCTGTGTTCAGTGAGTGCTGACCTCGCGAGGTGTCCACGAACATTCTTACACGCATCACGGGTAGCCCTGGAGGCTTGGGCTGAAGGCTTGTGAAAGCTGCAGGCAGCCGCGTGCCAAACAAGATAGCGCAAAAAGAATGCGGCTAGCATCAGGTTGTTTTGGGTTTTGTTCCGAGGCTTGCACCAACCTATACATCAAGCTCATGCACATTTTGCATGTTCACTCAGACGTCACCCCGTAAGCGGTTTTTCCCTGCATATTTTCACCTTACAGCTTCCTGTTGGTCGCTCCTTTCCTTTCGCCAAGACTTCCCCCTTCGGAGGTCCTTTCTTTCGCCTTCGCGGCTTCCCCCGGCTTCGGCGTACGCTGCGAGGGCGGCGAGGTGACCTGCCCGCTGCCTAGGGATTTGCTGGACGCCCTGGCGAAGCTGGAGGGGTTGGGACGGGGGGGAGGTAAACATGTCCAGAATTCCGGGTGAATTGTAGCGACCTCACACGACTGAATTCACCCCAAATGTTAGTCATCGAATTCACCCCAAATGTTAGTTTATGTGGGGAATAACCCTCCCAACCACCTTATGTTAGATTGGCGAAATATTATCATTCACTCAGAGATTTCGCAAGGCAGGTGCTTTGGCGGTGGGATATTGATGGACCTTGGCGTTTAGATGGGGTGGACTTGCCACTTGTCAGTGTCGCTTTTGGTATGTCGGGCCAGAGAATCTCCAAAATCAGGGCCGGGCGGAACTTGGCAAGATCTCACCCGCTCAAAGGCCAACCGAAGCGCTGTTCATTAGACATACACACACACGCTCGCATATACAAATACACGCACAATCACATTGACATGTACACATGCGCATACACATACTCAACACATACACATACAGTGCACCATACACATGTGCATACATATACATGCGCATGCCTATGCACTTTCGATGCGCACTCACACACACACACGCACATGAGCGATCTTACTTGCGTTACTTGCACACATGCAGACAGAAATAGAGACAGAGACACAGACCGACAGACAGACAGATATAATATACATACTTACGCGCATACAGACATGCAAACAGTCGCTGCGCTGCACAACATCATATCACATAGAATCACATCAAAGCACATTACATATGTACCCACGTGCGCATGCGCACAGGCATAGCATAACACAACACAACACAACCTGACATAACATGCAGGCACGCATGCACGCACACACACATGCATACATGCATGCATACATGTATGTAATGCAATGTAACGTAATGCAATGCAATGTAATGTAATGTAATGTGGTGTATGTATGTTTGTACTTCTGTATGTATGTATGTACGTCTGTATGTATGCATGTACATATGTATGTATGTATGTATGTATGTGTGTATGTATGGTATGCACTGAAATGTACTGTAATGTAATGTAATGTAACGTAATGTAACGTACGTATGTGTGTAGGTAGGTCACACATACATACATACATACATACATACATACATACATACATACATACATACATACATACATACATACATACATACATACATACATACATTTACATACATTTACATACATTTACACACATACATACATACGTACATACATACATACATACATACATATATATATATATATACATATATACATGTACATACATGTACATACATGTACATACATTTACATACATTCACATACATTTACATACATTTACATACGTACTCAGTACGTACGCAGAATGGACGTGCATACGTGCGTACATACTGGCATGCGCATGAATGCATGCAAGCACACTTCCTGACTGACTGATCGACCGAGCCACCGACTGGCTGGCTGGCTTGCTTGCTTGCTGGCTGACTGACTTGTCTGTTTTGCGTTGCTTTACCCATCTTTACTCTACTTTAGCTTGCCTTGCGTTGCCTTACCCTGACTTGCTTGCTTACTGTCTTTTACACTTACAGCACTTGCGCACACACACACACATGGATACACGCCAAGTGACCGCATGTTTTCCGTGTTCTTTGGCAGTCTCGGTCGAGATTGCGATGGAGAGACAGAGGGAGGTACACAAACATATGTATCACACTGGAATATTCCGTTTTTTGCCAAAAAATGACATTTTGGCTCTAAAAAGCATGAAAGCCACACGTTCCAGATTCTAAAATGAGGCTTTAAAAATGCACTCATTTTTTAGACTTAAACTCGAGCATCGGTACTTAGTGCAATCCAGGATGTGCTAGGGCTAGCCCGTGCTAGGACATCCTGGATCGAAGATTGAAGATTGGAGATTTCTGACAATTCTTTTTGGGAATCTTCAAATCTGTACGTACTTATATAGGGCAATCCAGGGTGCGCATGTGCTAGCACGTGCTAGCGCATCCTGGATTGAAGGTTGAAGATTCTTTGACAACTCTTTCTGGGATTCTTCGACCTTCAAGCTTCAACCCAGGATGCGTTATCTCGTGCTAGCACATATTAGCTTGTCCCAAGGATGGATTGAAGATTTTCAGAACAAGTGGTCTGTGAATCTTCAAATTTCAATCCAGGATGTGCTAGCACGTGCTAGCAGCTAGCGCATCCTCGATTGCCCTAAGTACATATTGGAAGAATTCCAGAAAGAGTTGTTAGATAATCTTCCTTCAATCCAGATCCTGGATTGCCCCCAGTGCGGATTTGAAGAATCCAAAAGGCAGACCGGGAGCGCACGTCGTCGGAATCAAATTGTGGATGTGTTGGCTGCTTGCGTTTGGCCAGGGGGGAAATGCTGTTGACACCTTCACAGGATGGAAGATTCTCGAATACAAAATCTGGCCGATCTTCAATCTTCAATGGAGGGGGCAAATCCTTAAGGAGTCCAGATAAACATATATGTTTGTGGAATCTTGTATATTCGATCTTCGACTCAGGCAGCACAATCTGAGCAAATGCTGAAAAAACATTGAAAACACTTTTATGTCATTGGCCTGGCTCAGTTCTTGTCTGGCTCAAACCACATGGAGTTCGATAAGGACAACAACCCTTTCAATATTCAGTTTGATTCCAAGTTCATCTGGCCATGACAATAGCTATCTTCCCCAGTTGATTTTGAAATGCATAAGAAACTGCAAACGATTAAGCTTGAATTTGGTTTGAACGCATTGTTTTAAAACTGGATATCCTTCCTTTTCTTGAATTTCAATAGTTGTTATTGGCGATGATTGAATCAACTTAGACAAGCGGCACACAACTGGGATAGTTGTTTTGCAAAATATGTTTGAAACCGACTGAACTAGCATGTACATGGGATTATGCGCAACACCTGGGTTAACATGTAAATGCAACTGCGCAAGGACATAAGTAGGAATGAGTTCCTTTTCCCCAAGTTGATGGTTTGCCGAATTTCGCTGCCAAACAAAAAATATCAAAGCCAAAAACAACAAAATAATAAAGCTGCTACAGGTTCGTTGAAGCTGCCAAAACATACTTCGCGCACTACTTTTGTGCTGGAAAGTTGTGCATTTCGAGCTGGAGCTGCCAAAGTGCACTTTGCATACGCCAATGTGATTTGAAGTGCACTTCGCGCGCACGCCAATGTGACGGTGACTCAACTCAAAGGGAAGCAGTCGGTTCATTTCAGAGTCTCAAGGCGTTTGTCACTCCGAGTTTGGCCAAAACCCTCAGTTCTGGCCATTGCAAGGGGTAGCATATATAGAAATATATGCATATGTATACAGATGTCAGCAGTTCTTGGACATGCGCTCACTGCCAGGGGCTACTCTATAGCAACTGCCTCATGCAAAGGAAAGTACATCAGTGTGATGCCAATCAAACTTTTTGCGGGCGAGACGCACAGTGTCCTGTCAAGAACAAATGGTTGGAACAAGATGGAACAAGCATCCCGGGCGGGGGCGTTCGGCCCTGGGTGGCGAATGGGGCAGATTTTGGCAGGAGCCTTGCTCGAAGGCGTGCCGCGCGCTGAAGTTGCGCGCGCAGCAGGAGGAAAACCCTGTTTTATGATCGCCCTGCATCAATGGTTGCATGGGCTTCCACATCCTGGCATGAGGTTATCAAACATCGGGAGCCCTTCAAATATGGCACCATCTTGAACGACAGGGACTCGAGGGATCGCCAGTAGGGCCACCTTCGTTTTGATGTAAAGTCCCGTAGTGGGTGCGCCAAATCAACGCAGTCAAGCTCAAGCCTTGCCATGCTTTCCAAGCTTGAGCGCATTTGCAGTCTCGGCCCTATGAGCAGGAAAACAGCAAGCCAGCAAGCACGGTGCCTCACCAGGCAGCTAGCTGTGTCCAGCCTCGTTGCACCAGAGCAGCGAAACAGGAAGCCATCATATATTCTGTGTTTTGTTGGGAACGTGGCATGTTGCAGCAAGTGAGAGCAGCGCTGTGCAACAAGAAGTCTGTTTGATTTGTGTCAAGCTTTCTTGTTTGCGGCACGCATTGCCACAGCGCGCAGCAACTCAAACACACTTAGAAGCAGTCTGAGGGCGTCCCACATACATGGGCTGCCGGCGCTCTTTGTCCGCAAGGCTGGTGTCATTTTTGGAACGACCGACTTTGTTTTGCGCTCGGTGCAGGAGGAGCAGAAGCCGCAGCGCGCCACGGGGCGGGGGTGGCGGTGGCAGCCCTCGGCGGTCCAGCCGGCCACGCAGCCGGCGCAGAACCCCGCAGCGTAGCCCTCCGCGTCGAAGCCCCCTGCGACGCAGCAGCCGACCACGCAGCCCCCTGCGAAGGAGCAGCCGCCCGCGCAGCCCGCCACGCCGGCGCAACAGCCGGCCGCGTAGCCCCCCGCGGCGCAGCCCGCCGCGGCGCAGCCCGCTGCGGCGCAGCCCGCCTCGGCGGAGCCCGCCCCGGCACCGCAGCAGCAGCCGGCAAAGGAGCCAACGGCGCAGCCCGCGGGGCGGCAGAAGCCCCAGCCATCGAGGCAGCCCGAAGCGAAGCGCTAGCCAAGCTGCAGATGTGAAGGGATCCTTGGTCGAAAACGTTTTTTTGCCAGGCAACTCGTTAGGATATATATATATATGTTTTTTAGGTATATGTACATGCATTATATGTGTATATATATATATATATTTTAATGTACATACTTGTGCAAGGTTGTGCTTGTGTAGTATAAACAGGTGAGGAACACGTTGCCAGCCCTGACAAACCGAATTGGCTGTCAATACGGATTGCAAGTTTGCAGTTTTGCGGCGGATTGTGCCAGAAGTGAGGTACACCGCCGCCACCCAGCGCTGGCACTGGCAACGAAGGCTTGTGATGTGCTTTATGCTTCAGCGCCTCAGAGCGCGCGCCCCACCCCCCTCGCCAGCACGTGCACACATTTGAGTGGGCAGCTCTACTTTTGCCCATGCGAGTTTTCAAGGTGTTTGCGGGGGCTCAATGCTTAGAGGCAGCGGCAGCGGCTTGCTGACGGCAGACGTTCTGGCGGAAGCTGCGAAGAGGCCCTCTGGTGCAACTCCGCGAAACTGCCAATATGCCGAAGTCAGATTTTGGCTAGGTTTGAACTGGACCAAAGGGTCTCCAAGTAAAAGCCCCACCCATATGTTTCTGGGTCGCACCGCGGCAGGGACGACCAGAAACAGCCAGATTGGTCGTCCCTTGATTCTTTTGGAGCGCCCAGGGCAGCCTTTGCTCGCGCCAATGCCATCAAGACGCTGCATGCTTCTAGAGACCGGGCTTGTGTGCCTCGTCACTATGTGAATTGCATGCATTGCCAGAAAAGTATTTGTGTCACATGCTGCTTGTGAAGCCCGACTTGTGGAGGTTGACCCAAGTGATTCCTCAGGTTTTCTTCCTGCAGGGGCACTGCTGCTTGGCAGCAAAAGTGGGCTCCAGATACACGCGCCTGTTCCAGTCTTGAACACCTAAGGCAAGCTGTATGGCAAGTGCACGAACTTCCATCCACAGGATGAAGCAGAGAAACAGCGCCACTTGGCTCAAGGTTGTCACTTGTGCATGGCTTTGAATCAGCTGGCTCGCCCGGTTGACCAGGATGGCTCGATGATTACTTTGCCACAAAGTGCATGCTCGGTGAGCCGGGCTCTCAGAATGATGCGGCTATCTTGTTAGAAAGCCGTCAGTGGCCTATTGCAACAACTTTGCAGTTCAGGCCATGCCAGGGATGCATGGCTGCCTACTTTGCCCAAACTAGTCTGGTTTTTCCATTTCCGCTTGGGAAGGTCCCCTCGAAAGGCAAGGCAGATCTTGGCGCGTGAGACTGTGCTGCATGCACCGAGTCGCTGCACAACGGCCGCCTCATGGCTTGCACTTAGAGTCATGGGTTGTGCACTTACCATGTGTGCGCTTGCTCAGCTAGAAAGGAGCAGGCGCCCGTCCCTCCTGAACGCCATCTTGGCGTTCCGTTGTTTGGTCCGTTCTATTTGCCACAAGAATCTCAAATTGTCCTTCCCCCTTTAGCTGGCTGCAAGGATCAGTTTGCTTTTCCGGGAGGTGCAAGGATTGGAGGCACCTCTTGCCATCAAGACCTCCTTGCACACATCAAATCGCGAGGCCTTCAGGCCCTTAGGTCTTGGGCGCGAAAAAGCGAGGCGTGCCTGTACAACCACCCGGGCCAGACCCGCGGCCAGCCCCCACCTGGGGGCACCATCGAAGATGCGGAGCAGCAGGCAGTTTGAAGATCAGAAGTCGATGGGCGGCTTGAGTTGGGGACTTTGGAAAATTTCAGCAAACGTCAAACGACGTCAAACGTGCTTTTCCGGTTGGTGGGAATCTGCCTGCAAAGATGGGTGCATCCACATGATGAGAGCTTTCGTTTCTTAGGCTCCTCGCAAGGTCGGCAAGAAGCAAGTTTTGAAAGCATGAGGTTGGAATGAAGAGGCTGGTTGGCGTTGTCCTCGCGATTCATGTGTGGTGTCTTAGTGATCTGAAAAATTGCCCTGACTGGATCCTGGCTGAGCTTGCGTGTTTACACAATATGCTTGATAGTTCCAGCTCCTGCGAGAGGAATCTCAAAGTGTTTGCCACCCGGCATGAAATTGCAAGTGACGGTTGCGTGGACACTCGGTACGCCAGGATGTGCAGTACAAGGTTGAAAAGGTGGGGCCGGGGAGTAGTTGTGCCTGATTTTCAAAGGGAAATGCAGCGAACCCTGACAAGCCAGCATGAAGTTTGACCGCCATCACACAGTTGGATTGCAGATTTCGGATTTCTGCCGAGGGGTGCTCAGCAGATGCAGTGCGTGCACACGGAATCACACGGACAAAGGGTGTGAAGATGCTTGCGACTGCAACCAGATGGGCATACTGGCCACATGCTAGGCGCAGCGGGACAAGCTGAAGAATGCGCAGGACTGTGGCACGCTGTGATAACATCGACCCTGCGCAAGGGTGGGGGAGTGGTGTGAAAGGCTTTGTACTGAGATACGAAGAGGAAGGCCGTTGGTTTTTTCCGCAAAGATTGCATTTCCCGGGACAAGACATTTCAGACAACCGCCTTGTGCACCCCACACTAGCTGCCTTGGACTTGCAATTGTAACCAGTGGAACGCGCCCAATGCCAGGACACTGCCATGAACAAAAGCAAGACTGCTGCTCGTTTGCACTTAACGGCGTGTCTTCGGTGGATTTGCGATTCGACAACCACACCCACCCGCACACACACACACACACTCTCTCTCTCTCTCTCTCTCTCGCTCTCTCTCGCTCTTTTCCCCTTTTCTCTCGCTCTCCCTCTGCGCTTCCCTCTTTCTATGTGTTTCGTTGTTTCTTTATTCCAGTCATTCCTTCTTTCGGGTTTTTCTGTTTGTTTGTGTGTCGTTTTGTTTGTCTGGCTGGTCTTTATTTCTTTCTTTGTTTCTTTCTTTCAGTCTTTCTTTCTGTCTTTCTTTCTTTCTTTCTTTATTTCCTTCCTTCTTTCTTTCTGTCTGTCTTTCTTTCAGTCTTTCTGTATTTCTGTCTTTCTGTATTTCTGTATGGAGGGCCATTTTTTTAGGATTTTTTTCGTTTTTTTTAAGGAATTATTTTTGTTTTTCAGGGTGGGTGTTTCGGCTTTTTGGCTTTTGTGGCTTTTACGTGGGTTTTTGTGGCTTTTGTAGCTTTTCTTTTCGCATCCTCTGCATTCACAGTTCCTCTCTTTCGCATCCTTTGCATTGCCAGTTCCGCTGGCTTTGTGGCTTTTGGCGGCTTTCCAGGTTTGGCTTTTCGCATCCTCTGGCCTGGCTTCCTGCATCCTCAGCATCGCAAGTTCCTCTCTGGTGCCCCCCGCCACCCCCTTTTCGATTAAAATGCACACCTAATTGAATCATCACTTTGTCGATCATCATGTGACAGCTGCTTTTTAGATTTTTTGGCTGCCGTTTTACAGGGATTAGTTTGCCCGTGATTGAATCCTCACTTGTGCCATGAGGCCTTGCCGCAGAGGAACTGATGACCCCCCCGCTGCTTTTTTTTTTTTTTGGCCCTAATTGAATCATCACTTTTTCAATCATCGTGGGGGGGGCTGCCGCCCCCCCCCCAACCCCCCCGCTATTTTTTGGACTTTTTGCCCCTATTTGAATCATCACTTTTTCGATCATCATGCGAGCGCTACTTTTTAGGTTCTTTGCCCCTAATTGTTCGATCATCATGGGGGGGGCTGCCCCCCCCCCAACCCCCCCCGCTATGTTTTAGACTTTTTGCCCCTGATTGAATCATCACTTTTTCGATCTGCAGGGATTAGTTTGCCCGTATTTGAACCCTCACTTGTACCATGAGGCCTTGGCGCAGAGGCACTGATGCCCCCCCCGCTGCTTTTTTTTTAAATATATTTTTGGCCCATTGAATCTTTTTTCAATCATCATCCCCCCCGACTTTTTGGCCCTGATTGAATCATCACTTTTTCGATCATCATAGGGGGGGCTGCCGCCCCCCCCCCCAACCCCCCCGCGCCTTTAATTGAATCATCACTTTTTCAATCATCATGGGGGGAATTGCCGGCCCCCCACCCCCGCTACGTTTTAGGTGTTTTACAGGGATTAGTTTGCCCGTGATTGCATCCTCACTTGTACCATGAGGCCTTGCCGCAGAGGAACTGATGACCCCCCGCTGCTTTGTTATATTTTTTTCCCTAATTGAATCATCACTTTTTCAATCATCGTGGGGGGGGCGGCCCCAACCCCCCCGCTATGTTTTGGACTTTTTGCCCCTATTTGAATCATCACTTTTTCGATCATCATGCGACCGTTTTTTAGATTCTTTGCCCCTAATTGTTCGATCATCATGGGGGGGCTGCCGCCCCCCCCAACCCCCCCTATTTTTTAGACTTTTTGCCCCTGATTGAATCATCACTTTTTCGATCTGCAGGGATTAGTTTGCCCGTATTTGAACCCTCACTTGTACCATGAGGCCTTGGCGCAGAGGCACTGATGCCCCCCCCGCTGCTTTTTTTTATTTTTTGGCCCATTGAATCATCTTTTTTCAATCATCATCCCCCCCGACTTTTTGCCCCTGATTGAATCATCACTTTTTCGATCATCATGGGGGGGCTGCCGCCCCCCCCCCAACCCCCCCGGTTTTTTATTTTGACCTATCATCACTTTTTCGATCTGCAGGGATTAGTTTGCCCGTATTTGAACCCTCCCTTGTTCCATGAGGCCTTGGCGCAGAGGCACTGGTGCCCCCCCCGCTGCTTTTTTTTAAATAGTTGTTTTGCCCTAATTGAATCATCACTTTTTCGGTCATCATGCGACCGCTACTTTTTAGATTCTTTGCCCCTAATTGTTGGGGGGGGCTGCCCCCCCCCCCCCCAACCCCCCGCTATTTTTTGGACTTTTTGCCCCTGATTGAATCATCACTTTTTCGATCTGCAGGGATTAGTTTGCCCGTTTTTGAACCCTCACTTGTACCATGAGGCCTCGGCGCAGAGGCACTGATGCCACCCCCGCTGCTTTTTTTTTTTTTTTTAAATATTGTTTTGCCCTAATTGAATCATCACTTTTTCAATCATCGTGGGGGGGGCTGCCGCCCCCCCCAACCCCCCCGCTATTTTTTGGACTTTTTGCCCCTATTTGAATCATCACTTTTTCGATCATCATGCGACCGCTACTTTTTAGATTCTTTGCCCCTAATTGTTCGATCATCATGGGGGGGCTGCCGCCCCCCCCAACCCCCCCGCTATTTTTAGACTTTTTGCCCCTGATTGAATCATCACTTTTTCGATCATCATCCAACACCCCCGCGCCTTTAATTGAATCATTACTTTTTCAATCATCATGGGGGGGGCATCATGGGGGGCTGCCGCCCCCCCCCCCAAAAAAGGCTGCCGCCCCCCCCAACCCCCCTGCCTTGAATTGAATCCTCACTTTTACCATGAGATGCGGGAAGTGGTGATGCTGGCGATGTTGGCTGGACATGCGGGGGATGTTGAAAACGATGCTGATGATGTTGACGGACGCGTAAAATACATACATTTCGCGAGAAAATGCTGTAAATTGCAGCATTTTAGTAGCCAGGACGGAAAACAACAAAATCCCAAGATAAAACAAAACAATCCCAAATTCAATCTCGACCCTTTCTGTATTTCTGTATTTCTGTATTTCTGTATTTCTGTATGTCTTCTTTCTTTCTTGCTTTCTTTCTTTCTTTGTTTGTTTGTTTGTTTCTTTCTTTGATATTTGTCTCTCTCTCTCTCTCTCTCTCTCTCTGTCCGTCCCACTCTCAATCTGACAGGGTAGCGGGAGGCACTGATAAAAAAAAAAAAAAGTCACCCTAGTCATCCGGCACCACTGCCAGCCCCGCCTGAAGAACTGCTACGTCCTTCACTGTGGTCTTCATGGTTTGTAGGCGGTTCTGGTTTTTAGGTTCTCTTTATACATACATTTTTTGGTATGCTTTTCCCGCAAGCATTGCGAAGGGTTCGTCCGGTAAAGTCGTTGCGCTCTGCGCAGCTCGACTGCATAGGGAAAGTAGGCACTGAAATTCATTGAGGCATGCGCAGGGAAAGTAGACAGCGAAAGGCATAGAGTCATGCATAGGGCAAGTACAGAGTGAAGTGCGTAGATGCATGCACGGGGAAAGTAGACAGTGAATTGCATAGAGGCATGTACAAGGAAAGTAGACAGTGCAAGGCATAGAGGCGTGCGCAGGGAAAGTAGACAGTGAAATGCGTAGAGGCATACATACATAGGGAAAGTACACAGTGAAATGCTTTGCACGAGGCGGTTCGCGCGCGAACCCGTGCGGGGATTGCGCGTGTCAGATTGCTCTCGTGTGAATCTTCGCGTATACTCGCAACCTTTAAGTACAAAAGTAGTGCGTGAAGTACGTCCCTGCAGCCCCGGCTGCATGGAGAAAGCGCATAGGGGCACGTACAGAGTGAAGTGCGTACATGCATGCACAGGGAAAGTAGACAGTGAGATGCATAGAGGCATGCGCAGGGAAAGTGGACAGCGAAATGCATAGAGGCATGCATAGGGCAAGTACAGAGTGAAGTGCGTAGATGCATGCTCGGGGAAAGTAGACAGCGAATTCGTAGAGGCATGCGCAAGGTAGACAGTGAACTGCATAGAGGCATGCGCAGGGAAGGTGAAAGTGAATTGCATTGAGGCATGCATAGGGCAAGTACAGAGTGAAGTACATAGACGCACGTGCAGGGAAAGTAGACAGTGAAATGCGTAGAGGCATGCGCAGGGAAAAGTCGACAGTGAAATGCATAGAAGCACGCGCAGGGAAGGTTGGAAGTGGAATGCGTAGAGGCATGCATAGGGCAAGTACAGAGTGAAGCGCATAGATGCACGCCAGGGAAAGCAGACAGTGGACAGATTCCTTAGCGGAGCTTTGATGGGCACAGGCTTTGGGTATTAAGAACCACCAGAAATCTTGCGCGTGGCCAGGGCTCAGAGAACCGCGGGCAGCTGCATGAGGCGGGGGTTTGTGTTTGTCTCTTGCGGGCCGCTGACAATGGTCAGAAAGAGTAGCCTCAAAATTGGCACTCATGTGCTTTTAGATAACATGACGCCCTCTGGAAATGGCGGGGCGGCATTGGTACTCGACGGCATCATGCACTTTCACGAGACACTGGCGGCTGAACAACTGAGATTCCTTGGCTTCTCCCGCGCCACGAAAAGCGGCAGAAGGTCATCTTGTCTTTTTTTGATCGCCATTGCGCGTACTTTGTCCTTGCGTAAAGCGGGCAAGGGCTGCTTGAAAGAACGTGCGATTGCTGCTTACAAAAGCAACCCTCCAGAGAAGCACGTGGCCAGGCCGCTGTGAGCGCGGCTGCCAAGCTGGGGCTCAATCGCCCACCACCGCCGCCCCCAGAGCCGCTGGCGCCGGGGCCGGTACCAGGCTGAACGTGGCAAACTGTTATCAGCCGGCAGTCCCTGCAACGAAGCAGAAGAACGCCCGCCCCCCCGAAACAAGGCCTAAGAATCATGGCTGTGTAGATTCCGTGTTGATTTGCAGAGAGACGAACGAAACCAACGTGCCTGGAAAGCGGCGCCTTAGTTTCCAAGTCTGTGTTTGCCACTTGACTTGTTCCAGGCCTCAGAGATCTGGGTTAAGGCAATATGTTGAGGAAGGGAATTCATGGTTCAGACTCGGTTGATGCGTTAATTTGCTCTTCGGAGGGCAGTTGTTGCGCTTTTGCATGCATAGCACCAGTTTTAATACAGGGGCTTTCCACGTTGAGTGGATACTGCTTCCCTTCGGTTGGTACACAAAGAATTGCCCAAGGATTTGGGGAACATGACAAGTTTCGCTCGGCATGACACGACTTGAAGCTTGAAGCAGTTGGCGTTTGGGGTGCAACAATGACATGCATGACATGCTTGCGGTCATAAGCCCATCTCTGGGCAGCTTGCTTGATCGAGGGGTTATGAGGGGTTGCTTCCCTTCGGCCCTTAAATGCTGCGAGGCAGTGCATTTGAAGCTTCTGGAGTTCTGGGTATGCCAAGAAGCGTGTGTGTGTGTGTGTGTGCCACGTGGCAGGCTCTGCAGCCCCGCCTTCCCCCACCAAGTCTTCGACGCTTGGCGCTTTGGGGGTTTGATTCAAACGACTCTCCGCGGGCTGGTTTGGACTGCCGGACTCGTGACGGGAAGCAGCGAATGGCACGGTCTCATTTCCCAGGGCACCGCGGAATAGCGACGACCCGATGGAAGCGGAGATCCAGCGCATGATGCAACTGCAGTACCTTGGGCAGGGGTCGAGGGGTGGCAAGGTCGACAAGGTGTTTTGAAAAGTGCATTTTTTGTGGAGCATCTTGTTGCGGCCGAAAACAGATGGCTGGTTCAGGGAGTTCTGAGAGACGTGTGCCAACGCAGGTTCGTGCGCTCATTCCGCGCCGCGTTGTGTTGACTTGTTTTGCATTGTTGAAGCTGAGGCGCAATACAGAATATAGATGTTGCAAGGAGTGGGGCGACAGCTCGCTTTGAAAACCCGATGGCTGCCACAAGCCGTATTGGTCGTGCCCCTCCGTTGTTGAGCTTTGCGTGTGTTTTTTTTCCAGGGGGAGGCCTTTTGCGCTGAGTGGCCGGCTCAGGCAGCAGGAGTACCAGGCCAAGCAGATTGTAAAGGAATCGGCGACGGCGAAAGCAGGCCCGATTGGTCCAGGCCCCTCGGACAAATCCCAGGCAAGCCAAGGCTTCCGCGCCATGAGCTTCTTTGGCCTCTCGAAGTCTTTGCGCTTGCAACTGGCGAAGCATGGCGTGTTTCTGTGGCGAGAGCGAGAGAGAGAGGGAGCCCAACTGAGGATCTGACCGGAACTGCAGCGAAGTGTAGCGCATTTTGGAACCGACATGTCAATGCTAGGGAAGCGGCCTGTGATATGCATGCAGTCTCTCTTGTGATCCAGCAATACGGCAAGCAGCGGAGCGTCAACATATGCGTGTTGTTGGGTGCACCCTTTGTGTAATGCCACGAGAATGTTGCAGCAAGGTGTGTGTGTGTGTGTCTCAATCAAGATCTAGGGTCAATAGGCAGCTGCGTGATGCGTTGATTCTTGCCAAGGTGGCGGAGAGCCTGGAGCTAATGTGAGTATGGGCAATCCTGGAGGCTGTGGCGATTCTGGAAGGAATGGCTTTGGAGGCTGCGGTGGTTGTGGTTGCGGCGGTTGTGGCTGCGGTGGCTGCGGCTGTGGTTGCGGTACCGGCTGTGGCTGTGGTTGCGGTGGCAGCTGTGGCAGCTGCGGTCCATGCGGTGGTGGATGTGGAGGCTGTGGAGGTTGCGGAGGTTGCGGAGGTTGTGGAGGCTGTGGGGGTTGTGGGTGTTGCAGTGGCTGTGGCGGTTGCAGCGGCTGTAGCGGCTGCAGCTGCGGTTGTGGCGGCTGTGGTCCCAGCTGCAGCGGCTGCGGCGGTTGTGGCAAAGGATGCGGAGGGTGTAGTGGATGCGGCTGTGGCAGCTGTGGATGTGGCTGCGGATCCTGTGGATGCGGGGGCTGCGGAGGCTGCGGAAGTTGTGGCTGCGGCTGTGGACCTCCATGTGGCTGCGGTGGTTGCGGACCTCGCGGCTGTGGTCCCTGTGGTCCCTGTGGACCCTGTGGGCCGTGCGGTGGCTGCGGCTGCGGACCCTGCAGTGGACCCTGCGGAAGTTGCGGGGGCTGTGGCCCGTGCGGCTGTGGGCCTGGAGGCTGTGGGCCTGGAGGCTGTGGGCCTGGCTGCGGATGTGGCTGTGGGCCCGGAGGTTGTGGGCCCGGTGGCTGCGGATGTGGCTGCGGTTGCAGTGGTTGCGGCTGTGGCTGTGGTTCCACTTGTGGTGGGTGTGGCCCTGGCTGTGGCGGCTGCTGCGGAGGCTGCGGCTGTGGCTGTAAAGGTGGCTGTGGCTGTCCGGGCCAGGGAATGGGGATGTGTGGCGGCATGGGCGGCATGAATTCTGGCCTCGGTCCTGGAGAGGAGGTGCTCATGTCCAAGTCGATCACAGAGCTGAAGTCAATGATTACATCCATGGGCGGCATAGTCCCACAGCCACCGTACTTGAAGCAAGACTTGGTGCGACTGGCTGCCTCGTTGCGCTGACCGCGGTCCCGAACCTGATTGACGCTAGCCGGCAAGTGATATATATTGTGGTGTTGGGATGTGTGGGCACGGTGGGAAGGCTATTTTCTGAGTTTTGAAGGCTGTTGATGTAACCTAGCTTAAGACTCCTCTCGGAAGAGAAACAACTTAGAATTTGGTTGTCAACATTCCTAGCACACACAGGAGAAGATAGCAACAAAGCGTAGAGGGCAGGGTGACTGCACGTGAGCCTTAGGTTGAGTAGATTCAAGGTGGGCTGCGCGGCTTGGTCAAAAGTTGGGAGCTGCAAGGCAGATGTGACCAGAGACTGTAAGTGACAGGCCTCTTGGCCTCAAAGCCTTAAGCCCGTGCATTTGAAATGGCTGAGCTGACACACCGTCACAGCGCGGCATCCGCCCAAGCTGGAAGCAAGCTCAGATCCAAGGACCGTCACAACGGGCAACAAGATGTGCCGGAACCGGCAGCATTCGATGCGTTTCGTTTTCATTTTCGGGTATTTTGCTTTCAGATTGGGCGCTGTTAGGGAAGTATGAGCTCGATTCTGGACATGCGTTTCACCTCTAGTCCATTCATCGCCAAGTGAAAGGCCCCACACTTCGCCCAGAACCTTCGCGCATTTGTGGGCTTGGAGCCACTCGGCACGCAACCTCAGTAAAGGAAAATGCGTTCTGGATGCACCAGCAACCTTGGGCAAGCCTAACTTTCGGACCTTTGTTCAGCAAAGCCAGTAGCCAAGTTCAAGACCTGTGCAATTCATGAATCGCCTGCTTAAGTCCTTACAAATGTGTGGCCAAAAGAAACGGGAATCCGTGCCCGGCCAGTTCCTTCGTGCCCGCAGCCCCTTGGAGGTCATGAAAGCAGCGCCAGAGTTTCAACAACACACTTGCAGCCAGGCACTTGACGGCTCACAAAGCCTTCGTGCGTTCAGCTACTTGCAGCCCGTCCGACTTTCTGTAGACCAGACGGCCATGACGGGAGGGTACGCGGACCGTCCTCGCAGTTCCTCCACGCCGAAGCCAAAGGTTTCAAGCCGCTGGGCACAAGATTCAATCAGACTAGCTAGGGTTGGCATTTGTGGCGTTTTGACCATGGTTAAGCCTGTGCAAAAGAACCGAACCTGTGATGTCGCGTGTGTTTTTGTTCGGGTTCCGAGCAGTTATGTCTCATGTGAGCAGTGGCAAATGCAACACAGTACCGGAACCCCTTGGTTGCCAAATGCTTGTGAGTGCTTAGGTGCAGCCTTAAACGAGCTTGATTGTTCAAGCATGCTGAGATGCTGAGATGCTCATGTGCCGGTGAGAGTAGTTGGCAGAGGCCAAATCTTCTTCCCATTCTTTCTGACCACTCTCTCACATGTTCGAAGCTCCATGTCCGCGCTGTCCAAACTCTCCAGCCGACCGGGAGGCCGCAAAGAGCGGCCAGATACCAAGCCCATGAAGTTCGAGAAAGACGGTGGCCTCCTCAGTTTAGGTGGACGGTAGCGATCCTTTTTCGGGAGCTTGGGGTTGGTCAAGCTGAGGCGGCAGATGTGGGAATCCAGCCGAGGATGGCTGGCGCCCGGGCAAGCGCATGAACATCACGGTGCCTCGCCAAGTCGTTGTGGGTAACGTTGACGTGCGCCCTCCAAAAGTGATGACTCCCACCAAACCCAGGCACACCTCCCTGTGAACAAACAGGGCTTGATCAATCCGGGGTCAGGGAAGAGATTGCGGCCCTGACTTTGGGCGACTTGCCTGATGTGATGCAGGCACAGGACACTGGCCGCATTCAGAACAAGACCATCGTTTCAGTGGAGAGCCCAGACCCTCGGCCAATCAAAGCTTCTGCCCAAGTCCGTGCATGAAGTCTGCAGCACCTGCCACCGCCCAATGTGTATTAAATTTGTGCATGCTGCTCCAAGCCCAGTGGCTGCGCGCTCGCGAGGACTGGATGAAGTCCTTCTTCGAGAACAACCGTGGCTATTTTGAGAAGCAGGGAATTGCGCAGAAGCTGAAGAAGGCAGACAAGGCTGAAGGCGGGTGTGGGTATGTTGCTTGGCTTGGAGTGTTCCTTTCAGCCCATTGAGCAGGTGTGTGAGTGTGCTAACATGTGTTTGTGTTTGTGTGTTTCCCGCGAAGCGTGAACGAATTCCAAAACACAATCAATTGAAAGATACCTGCTTCACGGACCCAACGCATGCACTGCTGGTATCACCCAAGCTGACATGCTGCGACGTACGTTGTAGAACAACAGCCCGCCTCGGACTGTAGGCACAACTTGCGCGGCATGTTTATATCAAACCCTTGGCGCGCTAGGAGCTTCTGCTGCTGGCGTTGGCAGTGCGGGGCGGGCTCAAGGCAAGAAGACAGGAGCGAATATGACGCTTGGGAAGCATGCGCCTTCCGACCGTTGTTTCAGATGCATTGAGCTTATCGTTGCTTCGCCTGCGCACTTTGGACACCGAAGTTCTGACCACACTGTGGGCTCCAGCGGTTTGCTTGGCGTGGCAAAGGGGTTGCTCCGAACTCGGACAACCTCTTCCCGGCCTTTCGATTGCTTGGAACTCCCTCGACTTGAGTCAAAATACCCCTTGATTATGTAGCTGAAATCCAAGAAAGGCATCGAATGTTTGGCATATGTAAAGCAGCGTGCACACATGCAAATACAATATATGGGTTTGTCTTTTTTTGGTGTGTTGAGTTGCTTCAAAAGGCAGAAGGTGGGACCTCCCCGAATCATACCCCCGAATCATACCCCCGAATCATACCCCTTAAAACGTATGCTGCAAGATGCTACTGTTCTTCTACCGTTTTGTGTTGTTCACTGTCTCCACAACAACCACCACCAGCGCTACCCAATACTACCACTGCCACTGCCACTACTACTACTAGTACTACTACTACTACTACTACTACTACTACTACTACTACTACTACTACTACTACTTCAATTACTACTTCAATTAGCACTACTACTGCTACTACCACTACTACTACTACTACTGCTACTACCGCGACTACGAGTATTACTACCACTACCACCGCTACTGCTGCTTCTTCTGCTTCTGTTACCCTTACTACTAACTACTGCGACTACAACCTTGACTACTACTACTACTACTACTACTACTACTACTACTACTACTACTACTACTACTACTACTAGTACTACTACTTTTACTACTACTACTACTACTACTACTACTACTACTACTACTACTACTACTACTACTACTACTACTATTCCTGCTTCTGCTGCTGCTACTACTCACTACTACCACATACATCATTCTGAGTGTGTAATCAGTGCCGTTTTGCACCTAGCCGAATCATACCCGCGAATCATACCCGAATCATACCCGGACAATGAGCTTCCCCTGCCAAGGCTAGTGCTAAGTCTTTTTCACAGCGTCCGCACCACTACAGCCGCTGCTGCTTATGCTACAGCTGCTACCACTACTTTGGCAACTGCTACTACTACTACTACCACTACTACTGCTACTACTACTACTACTACTACCACAGCTTCTACGAGTTTGTAATCAGTGCCGTTTTGCACCTAGCCGAATCATACCCGCGAATCATACCCGAATCATACCCGCGCAGAAAACTGGCCTTGCCAAGGCCAGCGCCAAGTCTTTCCAAAGCTTCCGCGCGCACTACAGTCGCTGCTTCTACTGTTACTACTACTACTACTACTACTACTACTACTACTACTACTACTACTACTACTACTACTATTGTTACTACTACTATTGTTACTACTACTACTACTACTACTACTGCTGCTACTACTACTGATGTTACTACTACAATATCACTACTAGTACTACTACTTCTGCGAACTGCTACTACTACTACTGCTGCTGCTGCTGCTGCTGCTTCCGCGAATCATACCCCCGGATCATACCCCGAATCATACCCGCGAATCATACCTGCGAATCATACCCCGTACTCAAACCTTCCTGCCCGGCCACCCTAAAAAAAACAAACCCATAAAAATATATATATATATATACATATATATATATACATATATATATATACCTATATATTTTTGTATGTTTGTGTACTGACCTACTATTGCTGACATGCAGGGCAATCATGATAATCCTAATGGCGCATAATAGCGCGCACACCTCAGAACTGTGCATTGCACCTCGCGAGGCTTTGGTGCAGCGAGCAGCCGATTTGATAGGGGCAATCATGGGGCAACCCATTTCACGTGAGGATGTCGTGTTTCAAGCCCGGCAAGAGAGCGAGCGTGTATCGCCCAAGGACATGCGATGAGACTGGAATGTCGTTATGTCAGAATGTCCCGTCTGCGTGCCTGGGATCGGTTTATTTGCTCGGCAGCCAGTCGGTCTCCAGATGGTTCAAGATCACACCGATTGATAAATGCACTCTACAAAAAAATGTTGTTTTCCCCAGACCGGCGGGTCAATACACTTTTAGAGTAGGCCAATTCTAGACCAAGACTAAACTGGCGCATTGATCACCCAGCTTTGTTCGGGGGTAGTCCAGGACCCAAGCTCTTGCGCCAAGCCCATGCCAGAATTGCACAAAAAGCAAGGCCCCTTTAACCCTTACCATTTGCATTACCACCAAATGACAAAGTACCACTTTTGAAACCTTTTCAAGGGGGTGCCGGTTTGCTGGCTCCTCGGACTAATTAACCCTATACGAATTAACCAGAGTTTCAAAAGCCTTCAAGGTCACATTTTCCTTGCGAGATGTACCTACAACCAAGTGCCTGTCAACTTTCCTAGCACCGCCAGCTTGAGAAGGCCGGCGAGGGTCACAGTTCACTGACAGTCGGTCGGTCTTTCTTTCCCTGCACCAATCTGTGCTGACCGAAACGCCCCCAAATAAAAACAAAGAGCCTTTCCCTTTCAAAGCGTGTACTTCAACCTATTTTCCAAGTTTTTGTTTGGGCCCGTTTCAAGGGATGAGTACATTTGCTTCTGAGGGACCTAGTCCCGCTGTTAATAATTATCGTTTGTCCCCGGGCCGCTATTTTTTGTATTAGGATTCTGTATTGGGGGGAAGAGAGATTGCAGTTATTTTTACTTCAGTTTCTTCACTTCTGCCAAGAAAGTGGGCAGCTGGCTTTCCTGGTGCCGGGTTGGGGTCAATTCCTGCGCTGTTCTTTTTTGGCATTGGTGGACTGTCCCCAGGTCAAGCCCAGACTGGATGCATAGCGCTCGGAAGAAGACGGATCAAGATTATTTTACGCCCCGGCGAGTGGGTGAACGCGCAACTCGGCCTCCGATCTGAGCGGGTTGGCAAACAGGGCGAGAAGGGTGTCATTCTAGGGCAGGCATCCTTCTTTCTACAAAAAACAACCAAAACCCTGGGGACACAGCTGCTTTTTGATAAGAGCGATGGTTGAAAAGAATGGGGAATCAACCCCTAGAGTCATACGCATAATAGTACAATGAAGCCGTTCAGATTTTGGCGGCAATGATGTTGATCACAACACCGCGCTGATTCTGCACATGAGAGCGGCAAGCATCATCAGTAACGGATGCATGCAAACATGTACAGACTTCGAATCAAAGGGCTGACCTTTCTAGGTTCTCCCTTGCAGTGTTCATGGGTTTGTTTCGGGCGTGCCGCTTCCTTATGCAAACGCACGCCCCTTAATTTCATGAATATGTCCAAACTGTAAACCAATGTGTCAAGTTGTTCAAGTCAAACTTGCAAAAACTTGCTCAACAAAAAAACACTATTTTGCTTGCAGCAAGCAGTGAGGAAGAATAGGCAGCAAAAACACCCATAACAGGTGTGCCTTTGATCAATAACCTTTATTTGGGGAAACAGAATCGACCTGACGGACAACTAGCCGAGAACCAAACGAACACCACGTGAGTGTGAAGACCTGGGCAGCAAGCTCCCCGCCGAACGCAGGGCAACAGCAAAATAGCGATAAAATACTGTAAGACTACAGGAAAACTACAAGCATACTGCGAGAAGACTGCTGGAATACTATGGCATAGGACAACTTTGGGGGAAGACCACGGGAAGACGGACAAGTTGTAGACATATAACAGCTGAAAACGCTAAACACCGATGGAGGAGAATACCGATAGTAATAGAGTTGCACCGCTTTGCCACCTTTGTGTTTTTGCACCCCACCTGTGCAAACGACTCTTTTGAGTCACTGGTTTGCCCAACCACCGTAGCAGCTGTGGCAATAAACACTCACAGCTTCCCCGGCTTCTTGCAGCTTTTCGTAGTGAGCGAGGATCCTTGATTCGAAGGGTAAACATCATTGGCTGTTTTTCAAGCGGCTCGAGCTTTGTTCAGGCCGGTTCAGACAGAGGTTTGCATGAGAACATGGGAACCTCGTGTTTTTTGACCGCTCCAGACGTTTTATTTGTGAATTCCTCATTTTGGATTCTCAGTTTGGTGTTTTCTTTTCTCCCGCAGACGAAGCAAGCAAGCATGAGTGAGCGACTGGTGATTCCAGATTGGAGCCGCAGTCGAGAAAAAAAGAAAGAAAAGGAAGAAGAAAACAAAACGTGGACCCAGGCGTGATTTCACACAAACCACGCACTCCAGGCGTGATTTCAGTCATTGTGATTTCAGTCACAACACTGGAGCCTGAGAAAACGCTGGCGTTTACTGTGTGGAATCCTGAGATCTTTTCATTTGCGGTGGAAGCAAGCTTGCATCCACTTTCGCAGCTTGACAGAGCGTCTTTGTGTGTCCTTCACTTCATGTATAAGATGTTGCGTTTGATTCGGACTGCTAAAGCGGTTGGCCTCAATCATGAAAGTTGATTCGGGTTTTTCCCACTGTTTCATACGCATTTTGCAGAAACCAAGAAGATCAAGCAGCTAAGGCTGGCAAAGAAAGGCGGGCGGCAATACTTGCATTGGCTGAGCTTCACCCATAGTGCCATAGTCATGGTAAAGGGGAAGAGAAATTCAACCTTAACTATCAAAGACCATGAAAGGCGCTTGGGCCTTTAGTGGAACGTCAATCCTCGGATGAGCCAGGATAAGCTAAGGGTACCCGTGCAAATGGAGGGGTATCAAGAGTGGTCCACGCAACAGGCCATGCTTTTTGTTCCACCCCATTTTTAATTAGATAATCGCCACTCCCTCCACAGTTAATTTATTCTTCAATTCAAGGAACAGCGGGAATTAGCGCCAGTACCAATCTTGATAAGCCTCCTTGAGTGGCAGCAGTTTTGGTGGTCAGGAGGATTTGCCCTGTAAAATCGCGAATTGCTGGAGGATTTGACCATTTGTAGCTTTTTTGACGATGGCTTGGAACAATGGCAGCTTCTGATTAATCCCCCCCCCCAATGGATCCCCGTAAACAAAAGATCCCCCAAAAATCAACTGGTTCATCAGTTGTCCAAAGCCGACCTTTTGACCTTTGGTTTGCCATGTTGATCCATTTTAAAGCATGGCCCCGAAAGGTTCACCTTTCATTCCTGGGTTCTTTGGGCAACTGAGGTTTTGAATTGTGTAGGAAGCATTGCTGAGCCAATTTGAGTTTCCATTTCATTTAGTATTGCTAGAGCTTCCTTTCAGATCGGATTTGGGGGATGTGAATATCCGTGCAATTCTCATGCTATATTGCCTGGTAATTACTGTTCGGTCGTTGCCACTACCTGGTTTTGCATTACCACCGTGATACACGCGTCAGACGTGCATTCCACCGTGATTCAAAAAGGAAGATGGCCGTGCAGATGCCTTTGTTAAAGCTCAGCTTCTTGAGACCCGCCAGCCCGGCTCTTCGGCTCGCGGCGACGTTCTACCTGTGCGGACAGGAGGTAGCCATGTTGTGTTGCGTGTCCCTGTTGCACCAGCTTGCGGAGTGAGCACTTTGTCTCTCACTCCATTGCCTGTCAGAACCAGCTTTTGTCCCCCGCCCCCTTGCCGAAGCGCAGTCCTGCAGTAGCAGGAGCGAGTCTCCCCACCGAACAACCTGCAAAACAGGTTCATATTCTTGGAGGTCCTGCACCACAGCGCTGGTCGGCATAAACAAGCCATTCGATAGCTTAAGGGGTGCGGGTGCTCAGGAACATGACGGTCGCCACTTTCCGGTAGGGGTGAGTCAATTTTGGGTGTCCACTGGGCCAAACGGGCCCGCCCAGGGGGGATTAGCTGACATCCGCTCCTCAGTGCATGGCAGGCACACGGCCGAGGCTTCACCGCTAAAAAGCGCCTTTGGATGCAAATGAGCGGCTAGGTCCCCCCATGTTCAATTCTATTCCAGCAATCCCTTCTTGCTGGCAGCTTTGCAGATTGCAGCGAGAACCTGGCTCGTTCATTGTTGAGCATCCAAGTGCCGAGATGGGCGCAAAACCATTGCGTTGTAGAATTTGATTTGTGAGCAGACGTTGGACATGCTACCCGTTGTGGACGGGCACGGGAAGTGCCGCTCCACGATTTGACTAAGGCCCTAGTCAGGTACAGCACCTGGTTGTTTCAGACACTTGGCTGACACTGGATTCCTATTTCTCTGTGTCGCACGACTGGGTGCCCCTCTCAATCTTACACCCGCCAACCGCGCAGCTCACGAGAGCTTCCCCTCACATAAGCAGACAGGGTCGCCATCAGCAAGCACAGCGCTTTTCCAAGGACCATGTACCAGACTGGATGAGATCAACGGCCGCCTTTCAAGCGTTGGAGAAGGGTCCTAGCCCCAGTGCGATGCGTAGGTGAGCATGTCCTGTGGCCAATTCATTGGTTTCGCTTTGCAATGCAAAGCTGACAGCCCTTGGTCAAGCCCATTTGTGGTACCAAGCCTCGTATTGTTGATCAAACGTTGAACTGCCCACGTGGCCGATGACCGATGTGCAATGTACAGCTGTAGCGTCGCCGAGGTTCGCGGCCAAGATCTGCTGATGATCTCGGCAGGCTACATTTTGGCATGCATGTGGAGCCTTTGTACCAGCTTGTCAGTTTCCGGCTGCGAGAACCTACAACGGCTATATACATCAGCAAGTTGGCAAAAGCTTTTCCGGAGAGGTGCTGACTTGATACTTCCAAGCAGGTATTGCAAAGGACCCAGGCACTTGGCACTTGACTAGCTTCGGGCCCTTGCCAGGGCTGCCGGCGTGGACAGCCACCGTGTGTGGGACGAATCCGCTCGGAACAAGGCTGGCAATCTCGTCCATCCAACGAGCCATGTCTGAACCCAGCGTAGCCACGTAGCCGTGGCATTTGGAACTCTGGCTTTCCCATGTTGAGCAGGTATTCTGGCCCATTAATTGATCCTTTTTGGGGCATGCGGCCATGCGGCCATGCGGCATGACGGTCCCCTGCAGTAGGTCGTTCTGCTATAGTTGCCACTCCAAATCGCTTCGTGTATAGCCTAGGACTGGCCGCGTGACCTACAAGAGCCAGCAATCGCAGCTGGGCTGCGAGTGAATCATAGGACTGCAGTTGGGAGGAATTGCATGTCTTGGTTGGCGACCTGTCGGGACCCCCCCCAAAGAAAAAGAAAAAGAAGAACAAAAAACAGACAACAACAAGCAACCGCAACCCACTGGTCATGTTTGCATGTGGCGTGAACGGTGAACCCCCACTCGCTGTCTAGGCCCGACTTCCCTTTGGATTCCGGCCTCGAGCACCGAGCGAATTTCGAGGAGACCAAGTCCCACGGATGAGCTCATGGCCCCGGGCAGTTTTCCAATGGCGGGACGTGGGGCCCTCTTTGTCCCCATTGAAAACTCCATCATTTTCCAATGCCCCCCGTATTTGTTTGACATATTTTGACCGCGAAAGGGCAGCAGCCACCAGCGTCTTGCAGAAGCTTTGGACTTTAGACTTCAGCCTTGGGAGTGCGGCTTGCTCCTAAGCGAGCTACAATGAGTTTGCGCACAGGGTCGCTGGCTTGCACTTAGATCGGGTGTGCGGTGATGCTGGCTAGAGCTCAGGTGGAAGTGCAAGTTTGTTCTAGTGGCACCGGATAAGCAAAATGAAGTGTGAATATCATCCATGAACCCCAAAATGGGACCTGACGCTAAATGAAAGAAAGGCTCCCGGTCTTGTGCGACAGGACACCATGCGGAAGCGGCCACACTCTGCGCGCGGTCATGTGGGCAGGTATGCCGGAGACAGGAGCAAGGCAGGGTGCAGGGCTAATCGGAACATGGAGAGATTTCCGAGCAACGAGCATAGCATATGTTTTTTGCTTTCGCCTGTGGCAAGTTTCTGCGGAGACCTCAACCCTTCCCCAGTTGATGATATCGAAGTGGTAGCTGCATAAGGGTACAATGTGCGTTCGCTTAGCGGAACTGGAAATGTTATGAGCTTTATCTTAGATTAGTATGTTGGCCGTGAGCCCAATCCAAATCAATACGCCAATCAATATACAAACCCTAGACCCTGTGCCAACCCAATTCCGATTTCAAATCCACCCCCAACCTCCACGCCCCCCCTCACCCTGAGCCTGAACCCAACGTAAATCAAGCCTGAGCCACGTCACCCTAAACAAACGCAAGACTCACCCAAGACCACTAGAAGCCGAGCCGGAACCGACCCAACGTGAAGCCGAGCGAGCGCTACATCAACATGCAGTAAAAGGCCGCACTTTCTGGCCCCCGAGTGAGAAAACGGAAAGAGCCTCATGACAACTTGTGATGGTCAGCCTGTTGAACATCAACGCGCTGAAACTGTCGCTTGCTTTGAGCTGGGGCCCGTAAGCGGGCAGGATCGTTCAGCCAAGAAGGCGCCGGTGTTGGACCAGGACACTGGGAAAGCAGCTTGGCAGGTTCAAGCACTCGAGTGTCACAGCAGTTCAAGGTTTGGGCCAAGTGCTTTTCTTGTTAGATGTGTGCAGGAGAATTGCACCTCACAGTCTGATGCTTCGTGATGCCACTTTTGGTTTTCTGCAGGAAGTTGGGGATGCAACGTGAATGCAACATGTTCCCAGCGGCATAGTATGAAGCCCGCTCTGAAGCAGACGCGGCCACAGGCTGTATGAAACTCATGCAGGTGGCAGTCAAAAACCACAGCTTTGAGGGTCCATGAGGCGACTATAAAAAAACAAAAGGCGTGTTCCAGTGAATGCCGCCTCAGGTTGCCAATAACTCCATTGTCTCGCCTGAGAGCCCGCAGTGGTTCAAAGAACCTTTTGAAAACAACCGCCGCTCAGATGCACAGAGTTCCAAAGTTGAGGACGCGACATGTCCCAGACGCACCAGGTCACCATGTCATAATGTTTGCGGCAAGAGGCAACTTCTTCGAGTCCAAAGGGGTGGCGCAGAAGCTGAAGACGATGACAAATGAGGTGTGCACCTCAGATGAGTCACACTCAAAACCCGGGTAGATGAAGGTTAGTAAGGGACGATCCCAGCCATAAATAGTTGCGGCCGCCTTGGGATTTTCTTACATGGTTCTGGGTCAATCAATTGATACCGGGTTTTGATTGTGACTCAGATGCTCTCAGAATAGTTCCAGACACGCAGAGTTTGACATTGACTGGGACCGGGAGGGAGAAACCGGGGCCTGAGGAGCACAAGGACAAGGAGAAGTTTGTGGCAGGGCGGAAAATTCCGCAGAGACAACGCCAGAACTTCAAGCAGATCAAAAATGAGGCGGGCTTCATGCGCTGAATGCTTCAAGCCACGCTGCTCATGGAGGGTTGCCTGTTGTATTTGTTCACTACAGTTCCTGTGCCTTCAAAACTCCTGATAGATAGATAACTATATATATATATGCTTTGGCGCGGGGAGACTGCAAACACCTCATGTGCGGCCAGGAGGGCAAGATCCAGAAGCTTTGGCTTGCAGCGTAGGTTGGTGTCTTGCGTGCCCACTGCAGGGTGGGACCAGGCCAAACTTCCCAAAGTAGCAGCACGAGCTTTATGCTTGCCTCCCATGGAACCATGGATGTATGCGCATGCTCTTGATGGATGGATGGCTGCACTGCTGCCATGCCTGCGTCATAGCCGGCGAATGCGCGTGACCTGAGGAATTTGAGCATCGTATCCGTTGGCGCGCCCCAATGGATGAAGCCGTTGGGCCGCAAATGGAATCTGCTCGGGTTGAGGGCCAAGCTACTTGCTTCAGGTTGCACTTGGCCGGCAGGCCATTGCCCTCACGTGGTCATCCGTGCCTTCTGAAGTCCTTCATTTCCCACAGAAGGCCCGCAATGGAAGAACTCCGGTTGCCTTTTGGGATTTCTGGAGGCAAGGGTGCCAGATTTGGATTTTTTTTGCATTTGCTGCAGACGCGAGTGGACTGAGCCAATTGAGGTCCCCATTTGAGTCCAACCGGCCGTACTTCGAGAGCCACGGCATCGCACAGGCCAGAAAGGCTGCGACCGAGGAGGGGCTTGACACGGGCATGAGCATCAGACAGGAAACTCTTCAAACTTGGGAAGTAAGTCCCTGCAACTGTGACCAACACATGCTCCCCGAAAAGAAGAATACCCGCACGGCCGCACGGCTCCGGCGACGTCAAGTCGCAGAGGTTCCAAGTTGCATCAAACAAGTTGGGAGGAACTCCGGGCGACAAGCTGCATGTTGAGATTGCAAGCGCCTTCTGCAACCGTGCTTCCCTGAATGAGCCTGGTGATTTCTGGTCTCTGCATGTCGCTGTGTACTTTGGTTGCTCTCTTTGCTTTGACGGAAGTATCCCTTGCCTTCCATCAAGTGCATACCGCAGGAGTCGACAATGCGCCGGTCCAACTCCGCACCACCCAAGTCGCGGGGCTCGAGGGAGGAGACGGAGAAGAAGGAGGCCAAGGCCTGGAGGGCGACCGGCACGGAAGGCTTCTCCATGCTTTCCTTTTCCATCAGATATGGTGCTTGTATTGGCGTGTTGCTAAGGCTTGTTGATCTTGCAAAGGGCAATGGTGACAGAATGAATGGTTAGGTAAGGAGGTGAAGCAACACCACAAGACCACAAGCCCATGCAGTAGAAGCAAACACCGGTCGCAACTGCACTCAGTACAGGCAAGCCGAGCTTGCCGCTTTTCATCACTGCAGCACTTGATTTAACATTTTAGATCATTTTAGATGTCAGTATCCTTGGCAGCGCCGGAAGCAAGTCCAGCAAAGAAAGGGTTCTTGCAGAACTCGCTTGAGCAGTCGGCCAAGTAGCACCGTGTTCTTTGGGCACCAATGTCAATGCACCTGCCTCACTTGCTGCAGGGAGTGCCTTCGCATGCTGCTGAGCGGAGCGCGCGCCGTAAATCCAGCGGCACATCATCCTCAATCTCTGGCACAAGTAGGAGGACGCAGGGCTGAGGTTGATGCTTGAATGACTTGAACGGCTCTTGGGTGGTTGTTGTCGCCAGCTCACACTACTCAAGCTCATGTTCTTAAAGGGTTGCGGATAATTCTTGAGTCAGATCTCTTCTCGCAAGCAAGGCGCTTATGTTTTGCACATGTTTTTTTTTTTTTTTTTCCGCCAGTGACACGTGATGTGTGCTGCCAGGATGCACTTGTGGATTATGAACATTTGATTCGACTGAAATGTTCATCCCAGATCCTCACAACTTTCAGCATCGCTGAGGACCAGCAGCACAGGCGGCTACTCGCGGTGTCACAGGGAGTTGCCAAGGCAGACGTCTCTGACATCCATGACGGATCAGACACCTGGACTGCACAGGGCTTGCGGCTTGCGTTGGGAGAGATGAACAGGTATTGAATGTGACCATTTTGAGTACGTGCTCCACAGTATGTGTGTGTGTGACCCCCCCCGCTATTAAACAGAGCAGGACGCTGTTAGAGTGCGTTTTTTTGTACATTTCAAGCTGTTTGGAATCTGGCCACCCTGACACAGATCTATAGATTCAATAAAAGACAGTGGCTGCGATTTGATTTGTTCCTTATCAATTCTGTTTGGACGAATTGAGCTTCAAAGTTCTGTTCGGAAAGGAATTCTATCTAAATTCTAGTTTTAAGATATAGTGTCTTTGGCCAGACCGAATGGGTTCAGAAAGGTGCCATCATTTTGTAGAGGCTACATTCAACTACACGGCATGGAGGTTTGGTTAGCGTTGCATTTTTTTAGGGGTTTGGCTTGGAGGTATTTTGGTCCTCATGGTGCCTCCCAGTTCTCCTGACATATGTGGCGTCGGTTGGGTCTCCAGGTGGGCACACTACACAGCAAGCAGACGGTTGCGCAAAAGGGGGTGGGATGGTTTTTGTTTGCAACTGTTTGCAGGCTTGTGCTCATGTATTTTCAAGTGTCTTCCCCACAGAAAAGGGTGAGCTTTCGGCCGGTCGCCTCTCAAAATCTCAGAAGTCCCCACGTGAGCGTCGCTGGTACGGACGGTTCGCCAAGGCATTGCTGACCCAAGTGGTCCAGCGGCTGCCTCAGGCGCATTCTGACATTGAATAAATGTACGGCATGACCACGTCTACACCCACAGACTCAAGCCAGGAAAGCATACCGCCTTGCCCGACGCAACACTGCGCACACCAGCCACATTAGTCAAATCCTAGATGCGCAGCTCATGATGAACACGTGCGCAGACAGCGCCAGAAGCACCTGCATTGTCCTTGACTTTTTGGCCAGGTTGCAGGAGCCTTCAGAACAAAGCGTTGGTCGCTGAGAGAAGATCGCAGCGGAAAAGATACTGTCAAGGTTGCCCGTACGTACGCTCATTCGCATGAACAAGCGCAGCATTCCAAGCGCTGTCCAATCACATGTATGATGCACTTGATTTGCTTCTAGAAATGCACCAATGCATTTGCACGTCATGGTATGCAAATGTGGCGGCAAATGTATGATGTGTGTATTGCACTTGTCCTTTGCATGATTCTGTTCATATCACATTTATCGTTGCATGAGCGCATTGGGTTGGAAAGTGTGTTTCGAAGGCTGCTGTCTGCAGTCCGAGCGAGCGATGGGCAACCTTGCTGTTCCTTTACGTGGGCTCCAATTTTAGTCCCTTGTGGCTGGCCCTGCAAGTCGGACCTGTTGAGAGCCGCAGCTCTGACAAAATGACCATGTGATGGTTGGATCAGGCAAGTCTTCGAATTTTACTGTTGACAAGTTCCCTCATTGACGTTGATGCTTCGCAATGTCAGACAGGTGGGTTTTTTGCAACGTGCATGCCAATAAGCTGGCCTTTGGCGTTCCTAAGGTGCAAGACCAGAAACAAACAACATGTCCGAGGTGCAGGGTCAGACAGTTCTGTGGCTGGGAGCGCTATCGCGAGGCAATCATACTCCTTACTTTTCCTTTTGTGCCGAATGGTCCTCGGGCCTCGGGCCCATGCCCCGCGGATGCATTCCGAGCCATGGGCAGCTGTAGCTGCTAGTGTCCCGCAAGGGCCTCTAGCAAAGACAGCTGAGCTCAAGGGGCGTTGGCTCGAGTCACATCAAGATGGGCTTTCTCAAGCTGAATCGCCTGGATTATTCGGAACGAGCCTTTAAGGGGCTTCTCCGCACCCAGGGACTTTTGGCTTACCTGGTCAGCTCAAGGCTGGACCTAAACTTATGCCATTTACGGATGTCTCTATGGCATCGTCAAGAGGCCCCAAACTAACAGCCGTGGAAAGAGACGCTGAGCTCTCCAGGCCAAGGTGTGGACCACGAGGTCATCGGCTGAAATCTGCATGCCAGCACGTGATTGATCGGTTACCTGCTTGCATCTCGCCCGGCCTTTGGATGTCAGCGGCGAATTCAACAGGCTGTCTATGTTGTTTAGTCAAACCAACAACCAAACATGTTAGCCGCAGCATGATGTGCACAAATGATTCCGCCTGTGCAGAGCTGTTGCCGTGTTCAGCGACACGAGTTGTACGCCTTGTGGGGGGTGAATGCTGCAAGTGGCAGCAAAGCATGCAGCCGGCAACGACGGCAAGCATGGCGAGCACTCAAGAAAGCAGTCAGGACTGCTTTGTGCTGTGCACAGCGCAAAGCTTGGGCAACAGATTGGTTGGCTGGGCGGGCAGGTGTCACAAGATGTCACAAGAGCATGAACCCCATGATCAAGAAGCCAGTTGATGGATAGGGTCCGGCATGCGGCCAGATACATTCTCGCCCATTTGAACACCGTAAGGTTGATTTCCGCAGGAAGCTGCCGTGCCTTACACGCTGGTGGCAGAGGCGCGGCTCTGCATTCCTCGTGAAGGTTGCATTTGTTTATGCTGCCCCTAAATACGCATTGTGGGGATGGCTGTGGAGGGAGTGCCAGATGGACCAGATGGAACGGGAGACTGAACCGGGATGAGGCAACGGTTTTCGAGCATTAGAGACGTGCTTCGGCGAAGGCAAGGAATGGCGATCATCGCGCGACTTTTTCGGTGCTGGAACCTCGGTGCTGCGAATGTCAGGATTCTGGCTACCCAGCAGTATTTCGAGGCACGCAAACAACAGTTGTATACAATTGTTGGTGCTGTTCATCGCGGGGGGGCTGGCAGCAAGCTCTAAATCAACAGTGTTTGTTGTGGGCATTTGCCAACCAACTCTGTCGAGTTTTGCATCCAGCAGCTTTGCACTGCACAAGAAGGCTTGTGCACGTGGCGGTGGCAAGCAGCACCTCAAGACTCGCACGCTGAGCCCGGTTGCTGGATTTCTCGCCAGCAATCGCACCTGGTCCCTTCGGAATCTCCTGCTCGTAGAAAGCTGACTTTGTTCGCTCGAAGAGTAGGGTGAGCAAAGGCATCTCATTTCTTTGGGGGGAACCCCCCGCCAAAAAAAAGACAAGCAACAACAAGCATCCCACCAATTAACATGGAACCTGGCAGGGGGGTCCCGTTTCCTTTCAAAGGGACCCCCTGTGAGATTCCATGTTAACGGGCGGGGCAAATATAAACACAGAAGTGATTCTCGTGTTGGTTTCTTATTGGTCCCCTCCAAAAAAGAAGAAAAACACAAACAAATGGGGACCTCTCTCCCCAAAACAATAATCATGTTGGTTTTCTCTTATTGGTTTCTTCTTGGTCCCCCTCCAAACCAAAATCACAGACCAATGGGGGCTCAGAGACCTCTCCGCCCAAAAAACAGAATAACGTTGGTTCTCTGGTTGGCTCCCCCCCCCCAACAAAAAACAAAAAACATAATAATGTTAGTCATGTTGGTTTGCTTTTGTTGGTTTCCCCTTGGAGAACCGGAAAAAAGCGCGGCTGCGGGCAGGTTTTCCCGCTGAGGCCCCAGGCCTGGTCCGCCAAGCTCACGGCCCGGCCGGTGGCCGCCAACGGCGGCCTCTTCGAGCTGAGAGAGGCAGTTGGGGTTGGAGGCAGTGAGGTGCCCATGGTGGGGGGGGGGGTGGTTTTGGGGGGTGGGGGGTGGGGTTGGGTGGTTTGAGAGGTGGGGTGTGGGGGGGTGGTTGGGGGTTGGGGGGGTGGTGGTTGGGTGGGGTGTGTGTGGGTGGTGTGTGTGCGTGTGGTTGGGGGAGGTGGTGGGTTTCTTGCTTTAGCCCAATGAAGGCCTTGATGGTTTTCTTGGCGACCTCTCAGCAAAAACCAGCCCTCGGCCTTCAAGCAAACTCTTGGCCGCCGTTAGCCAAGCCTAAGCCAACCTCAATCCCACCGCGAACACACCCTGAGCAAGTTATTTCGCAAACCTGCAATGAAACCTGTTGCCGCCATGACCTTAATTGCTCCTGCCAACGAAACCCGAAGCACGCCCTCGACTAAACCCACCCTCAACCGGTAACCCAACCGTAGCTCCCTTGAGAAGTGGGTTGCGGTGAGAGCAGATGACATGCTTACCAGATTCTGAAACGCGGGTACCACTTTGAAAACCAGGCAGAAAAGCGCAAATCGCGTCAAGCGGAAGGTCGCTGTGGATGGTTCCTGTGCACAGCTGCAGACGGCCTGTGGCCTCAACGTGCGCGCATCGAAGCTCAACCCGGGTGAGTACAAGTTCGCCAGAGTGAAGGATCACCCCAAAACAGGAAGTACCTCCTTGTACTTGACCAGGAATTCATATAAGTTAGATTTTCAAATATAATGCCTGCAAGTTGTGTTTTCGCTACTTGCGAGTTGCGTAAACTAGTTTTCGCAGTTTAGGGTACATGAACAAGCGTGTTGACAATCTATGGCAATGGGGCTGTGTGCTTGGTCCTTGCAGGCGTGGTAAGGCCAGCAAATCACGCAGTTGTTCACAGTTGACTAGTCCGCAACATTTTGATCAAGCGCTTGTCGCAGGGCCATGATTCAAACGAAGTCAGACTTGCAGGAATATGGGTTCCAAGCACATTTTGCAGAAGTAGAAATGGGTCCCTCTGGCGTGAGGGAAGGCACAGAAGACTAAGCGTTATTGCACCTGTCAGAATTGCAATTGGAGGCATGCAGGGTCGTCAAATCTTTTTCAGCAAATGCGTATTTTTGCAAGCTGCCAAAGCGATGTAATTTGCATAACAGACCAGCTGAGGTCTTTTTCTCGCCGAAGCCTGAGAAAACGGCAGATGCGATTGCCAAGGCGTGCGGCATCAACAGACTCCCCCTTCACCTCCCTAGCAGGGTGGGCTGTATTACTTGCTGCTTATGGCCATCCCTGAGCAGCACGCTGGAGAAAGCCGCATTGTTTGCTTTGTTCAGAAGTTTTCACAGTTGAAGGCACGCCACGACGCACGTAAGTGCCTAGAGGGGCATAGCGTGACCCCTTACGTTTGTTTTCTTACGCACACTATTTGAACAAGGCATGAAGCAGCATCCCATTGTCAGCAGCGAAAGGGCTTCCCAGTTGCTTCGCAGGTGATCTCTAGGCGCCTGACAAGCGACGAGTCGGGAGCTTGAAGTTGGTGCCACTCATGTCACGTGTTTGTCGCTCAGGCCCGATGTGGAGTGTGTCATTTCATGACGTGACGGGCGATGTACAGCCTGCCCATAGGTCTCGCAAGGACGCGATGGCAGCTCGAAGAAACATGCGGCGGTTCTACTTGGGCAGGCTCAGCGGCCTTTGCCAGCTGCAGTGACGCTAGGCTTCCTAGACGCAAGCAACGGCAAGGGTAAGACGCCATGCTTTGGACAGTTTTGTGGCTTTGAGCTCTTTGGCTGCTCATTGACAAGCCTTCTTACGAAACCTGCAGGTGATGGGTTGGTTGCAGGGCACGTTGGGGTTTTCCTCCGGTTTCATCCATTGCCCGATGCTGATTGCTTCAGGAAACGAAGCAAGCACAGTGCCAATACCTCCAGGATCTTAAAGCCTGGGATGGAACCTGCCAGGGCAAGGGCAGGCCGCATTGAGGGAACCAGCGAGCCTCACATTGGTTTGCCATTGTTTGATGGAAATGTGATCTGACTCCTTCGCAAAGCACTCACAGCCAGCAACCTACTCATTGCATTTCTTATCCATCAGCTTCTCGCTCTGTATGAGCGATGTGACGCCTCGGCCGAGCCAGCACGAGGCATGGTGTATGCGGCTGAGGGTTGATTGTTATTTTCCGCCAGATGTTTGTGTAGAAGGCAGGCATTGGAGCGCATACCGTGCCAGTGCCATGTATACTGAAGTTCACCTCATGGAGCTTCCCCCCGTGCAATTCAAACAAAAGGACAAAGTCATCTTTCAGGGCACCCCGTTGCAGAATCCTCCTTGTTCTTGGCCTGAATGGGGTTGATGCCAACATTTTCTGCGGCCATTTCCACATCTCATCGATAACGCATAAATCAACCACACCACCATTGATCTCGTAGGCATTCCTTCAGAGGTAGGAACCTGACGTATTGGTGCATTTGTGCACGGCCGGCAATCCTGCAGATGTCTCCCTTAGATTCAATTTACCTAGAACGAGCCTAGTGCAAGTCCTTGTGGGGTCAGTGCCAAGCTACGCCTTTGAACCGCCGAAAGAAGTTGCTAACACACTCTCAGCCAATGCAAACGGTTTGGCCTTCTAGTTTCCCCTTTTTGATCCACTTGAAAGTCAGAACCTCAAAAGTTTGACCTTGGTTTCTGGGTCCTTTGGGCAACTGAGCTGCTGTTCTATAAACTTTTTGACATTTTCTGTCTTCAGCGCAGATGTTACCCGATCTGCGGCATTCCGCATCTCGCAGAGCGACTCGTGGCCATTGACGCACAGGGTGCCAGGTCCCAATTGGTTTTGGGCCGAGCGCTTCAGGCGCAGGGCTGGAGGAGTGTAAGGGAGTGAGGTGCTCAGGTCATTGCAGTGACATCCCTGATCAGAAGTGATGTTGAATGTCAAGTGTGCATGCCTGCCATATTTCCACTTCCGGCAAGCAAATGCAAATGCAGCCAGTTGGCCTGGCTTGGCAATGATTCAGAATGATTAGGCGGGACTGGCAATGGGCAAGCACCAGTAGAAATGCCGCAGGGGGCCGTGGGGTTTGATGAAGCGGACCCACCGGCTTGTTTGTATCAGTTTGATGCATTTTCGGCTCAAGCTTACGGGTCGGCGGGCTGCAAAACTTTAAGGGCACTAGTCACCCGATGTGACTAAAAGGAAGGTGGCGCGGTTTCGAGTCATCTCAAAAGTTTATAAGAGCCATCATGACTGCTGCTGGCAACATGTTATCCAATGCCCGCGGCCATTGCATACTTATTGCCTGGCCGGGAGGCTCAGTGATCCGAAGCTCCACGTGTGTGGACGTATTGGGAACGCAGTTGCGCACAAATGTGTTTGCAGAATCTTCATGGCATGCTGGCACGGCTGGGTATCTTGACTTCCGGATTTGGGGCAAGCATGGCAGACATTGGCAAACAATGTGTTGCTCATTGTAGCCTTAAGATTTGCAACGCTCTGGGCTACAACCCCAGCTGTGCTGATCATGCACAAATGCAAGCGACCCCGTGCACTTCGCAACTGACGCAGCTCTGTGCCGCAATGTAGCTTTCTTCAAGAAGGGTTTCACTTTGACTTCTCCGAACTATCAGAGGCTTTCAGGAAATGCAAATTCGTCTTGGCAATGAGACATGAAACAGCGACATTTTCCGGACAGGCGAAGAAAGCTTGTAAATATCTTGCCCACGTGCATGGGTCAGAAGCGTCCTTTCGCAGAGATGGGGGCAACAGCGTCCAGCCGCCACATAGAGCTTGAGCCGCTGGAGACTTGGCTGCCAGCGGCTGTTACCTGCACCCCCTGGCTCTCCCTGGGTTGTCATGTCCATATGATTTACGTAATGTGGCTGATTGATTGCAGAGACTGCAGAATTTGAGCTAGCCGCAGGGATCCCGGCTGCGAGATAGGAGTGGCATACATGAGTCACAGCTAGAGATGCGCTGAGGATGAATCCTGCCTCACAGAGGAGGACGGGAAGTTGAGCATTTTGAGCTCGTGCCTGTCAAGTTGCCCACTTTGGTAACCTCCCGTTGGTTGGAGGGGTGGACTTGATGTATTGACTTACAAGCATGGTCTCGTGAAATGAAGGGACCCCGGGCTCTGCCGGGACTCCGACGGGTGAGTTTCCCGCAGACCCGCTGCGCGGAAGGAGCGCTCGTTGTCCCCGCTCTTCTGCGAGATTCTGGTGGTCGTTTGGCAGCACAAGAAGCTCCTGGGAGGGCAGAAGCACTTCCCGGACCGGCCGACTCTCAGGCTCGACAGCTTAATTTAACTGGCGATGAATGAGGATATTGCAAATATTTCTTGGCACCACTGCTAGACCTATGCCAAAACATGTGTTACAATCAACTGATACGAATGTGCTTGCACTATGTGATGGCTTTGCATCACCTACATACTGTTTTCGCATTCGTGTTTAGTTTGACCCAGCAAATTTTGAAACGGGCAACTGGGCGCGAGGCACAAAGTCAAGAAGGAGGAGTTCTGTTCGGGCTACACGGATTTCGAGCCCTGCGGTGGCAAGCCAGTTCAGACTCGAGGGTGCAGGAGTCCAACATTAAGCGGTGTGAGAAAGCCCACCCATGGTTCATGGAACCTGTTGATGTAAAGGACGCCTGGAGCACAAACTCAGCTTGATCATCGCTTGATTGATTTGATTGTAGGTTTCGCCTTCAGGCATATTGGTCTCTTTAATTGCACCGTCAGGTTTTGATAGGCGGTATCAACATCACAGATTTGCTTGGGTCTTGCTGTGGCAGAGCGGATCTTCACATCGCGCTAGCAGCAGGGGTGCTGAGGTACGTGTACATGACAGTGCTGGGCCTTGCTAAGCTCCATTCGCTTGTCGAGGAGCCACAGGTTTGTTGCCGAACCTGTCTGCACAGCTGTGACAGGAAGATTGAGCAGTGGCTTCAACGGCCATACGTTTCGGAATGCTTCGCATAGTTGCACAGGTTCCGTGATGGTTTGCTCCAAAGTGACTCGGTGCTTCTTCAAATGTGAAAGTCGTCAGCAGAGGTTCCAGATCACTGACATTTCTTTAGCTTATGTATTGGTTGTTTAGCAGCTGCAATGAGGATGCAGATTCTCAAATGCCAAATGACAGCTTTCTGTTCTCGTCTTTGACCGGGGCGCAGCTCAGACTCCCTGCCTGGCAAGCAAAGCCTCTCTTGCGGAAACACGGGCTAAATGCCACGTAGGAGATCACCAAGTTGAACAACGGCGAGGGTTTCACTCGGAACCCGGGGGTGCAGCTGCTTGAGCGTGAGCCTGGCGTGGTTGAGTCACCTTTCGGCCCATGAAAGGTGAGCGTCCCTTGGTGGGGGTGATGTTTTAGGGGGGAAATATAGGGAGCCCTGTTGTGTGGTGCGACGTGCTCCAGTGGCTCTCCAGCAAAGCCAACTTCCAAAGAATGGCCAGGTGCCTGCGGCATGACCATGCACGGGGACCGAGAAGGGGCCAACGCAATGCTGCGCTCTGCGCCAACAGCGCTGCTGGAGGCTGGCGGGCTTGGAGGGAGGGACGTTGGGGCTAACCAGGCCCAATGCGGGGGCATGCTGGATTGAGTGGGTGCTCCTTTCTTGCGGCTGAAGCTTCATTTTCAGCCGTTTGCCTCAGAGCTGTAACTCGTCTCTAAATATCTCTACATGGTGGGGTATCTCCAGAATGGCTTTCCTTTGGAGTCCCTTAAGCCAACAACAGAGAAGAAAAAGGTACCCTCAACCAAAGACTCAAGACCCCAACCGCGGATGGCGAGCGAGACTCAGGCCTTTCAGGCGGCCAAAGCCTCTGGGCGCTTCCTGGACTTCTTCAGGCACAAGTCATCGAGTCATCGAGTCTTTCGTTTGATTGCTTCTCAGCCAGCCAACGCTCTTAGCACTTTGAAGGTTGAGGCTCTGAAGGCATTTTGTGGGCATGCCAACCGACTGCTGGCTTTTCGCCACTGAGTCGTAGCGTGCGCCCTATCTGCTGCTGGCTTTCACCACAGAGTCGTTTGTGTGTGTTCGCTATCCACTGGATCCATGGTCAGCTGCGAGGCAAGCCTTCGATCGCCAGGCGGATCCTTGTTTGGAGGCGGGAATCGGCACTTACCGTGGCCGCGCTAAGTTGCGAGACGTCCAAATCGAAGTCATCTAAAGCAGGCTCATTGTCAGTAAGCATGAGGCTTTTCCAGTATTTTGTTAAGCACGCGTAGGGTTGCCGCTCCTCGCTGTTTGTTGTCACACATTTGTAGGGCTTTTGTGGGGAAAGAGACCCATCCATTTGTACAAACCCGATAAGGATATGACTCTATGGCAAAACTCGTGTGCGTAGACTAAATATAGAACAGAGTCAGAAAGTATTACTTTCTGCGTACCCCAGATGTGGGCTGAGATAAATTCCAAGAGTTGTTCAAAATTACTGCTCTGTGGTTTCGAAGCGTTTGGCAGCATGAACCCCCTGTACGCAGGCATGGCCCCGCTTTTTGGGTGCGTTCTTTGTTTTCATGCTACTCCCAACTGTAGAAGTCGTTGCGTTTGGTATTGGCGGAGTGCTTTATGTGTAATACGCATAGACAACGCCACGGTGTGCTACACAGAGAAACACCAATGCTTAACATTGGCACCCACAGACAACCACCTATCATAAACAAGATTTTGCGACCATCCCAAAAGTAGGCTAATCGCAGTGGCACACTTGGAAAAGTCCACCTTCAACATGGTTTTCTAAGCAGGTTGCCTCGATCAAGTTGAGGCCTTTTGGCTAATACCATCGACACCTTCGCTGGCTTTCTGTGTTGGTTGCAGCAGTGAAGTTGATGTCTTCTGGGAAGGCCAATCGCATTGGCGCAGGAAAATAAAAAGCACGCAGACAAACACTTTCCCTCAACAACATTGCCTTGCCAGCGGTGTCCCACTGACAATAGAGCACAGACTGGCGTGGTCATACCTTCTATCAAACTAAATTCATATTGGAGTTGCAAAGGAAAACCCCGCGAGCTGCTTGGCAAAGGCCCCTGTCCAGCTGCTTGGTTCGTATTTCACTGAGCCCAAAATGCCTCCGGACTTCGTGGATGGTTTCTCTAGGCCCGGTGTCTTTTTTTTGTCAGAGTCTGCTTGGAGTGAAGCCACGCAAAAAAAGGGTATGTCTTATTGTGTGAGGGTACTTATTTTTTTCCCGGGTGGTTTAAAAGGGACGCCAAAAGGAAAGCAACACTTTTTGAAGTCCCCGGTTTCTCTCGTAGGGCCGTACCTCGCGGCTCTTACACTTCCTGGAGTCCCATCGACTCACCTCCACCTCGGCGGCTCCATGGGAGGATCTGGGAGTTGCGGGAGTTGCGCGGGCCGGGGGTGGGGCGCAAAATCGAGGAAGCAATGCTCCGAGGTGTAAAGTATGCGCAAAATGTGCTTTTGCATAGGACACATAAGCAGTTTTTAGGGAGGTTTGAAGGGATTCTAGCACGGATTGCAGTCTGCTGGTGTCAGAGTTATGACCAGACGGGCTCAGACAGGAGAGGTTTTAGCGGAACAAAAAAAACTCACAAAAATCTCAGAAACAACTCAGCCAAGAGACTCAACTGAAAACACAGACTCAAACAATACACCAAAAATACACAGCAGGAGACTCGAAAAAAGCACAAGAAACATACAGCAGGAGACTTAAAAAAAAACACAGCAGGAGACTCAAACAAAACACACAAAAAACAGCGTGCTTTGTTTGTGTGGCTTGACACAATACCACTGGCCGCCTTGCTGCATTCTAGGTTGTAGGTAGGGAGGAGGTGTCCACTCGTGCTTGGGAGTGGATTGAGTTGTTTTTGAGTTTTGTGAGTTTTTTTGGTGTTTTGTTGGTTCGTGTAACTTGTGATGTGAATTGCTGCTTGAGTTATTTTTGATTTTTCTTTTGACTTTCTTTTTTTGAGTCTTCCCAGACTCAGACTATTTCAGATTGAATTTTTCGGATTGGGTTTCTTTTGATTTTTTTTTGTTTTTGCAAATTCCTGGATTTGCGGCCTGTGTGGGCGAGATCAGGTCTTAATGTCAGAGATTGTTTCAGAATATATCCAGCATAGATTTAGTCTATTTGGTACACTTCTAGAAGTTTCAGCATGTGGTTTGGTCATTCCTTTCGCACTTCTAGTATATCTCCTTAGCAAAATGGCTGTCCGATCTGGCTTCTAGTCTGCGGTGTATGTTCAACATACATCATGCTTTCTGATTCTAGCACTTATCTAAAGCACATGTCTATTTGGCGGAGCTTGATTGTAATTCTAGCTCGGTTCTAATCATGGCTAGCATATGGTTATCATAATTTGAGCATGCGAAACCACAATTCGAACATCGTAGCAAATCCGTTTGCCACTAGTTGAAGATATTGCCCAGCGCTACTTGAACACGGAAAAAGCACGCGCTCGGGAGTCGCTTTGTAGGCACATACATATATTTGGAGGTTGCCCCAGGGCTTCCCCGAAGATCACTGGTCGGGCGCACACGCTCACACTCTCATGTCCAGGATGTATCATTGCGACCTCTTGCGGCAGATGCAGCTATCAAAGATGTAGCTGCTCAGTGGCAGCTGGGTCGTTTTGCTTGTTTTGCAAGGGGTGACTTGCCTGAAACACCGGAGGACCTAAGGGGCCTTGGCTGTCTGAGCCAGACAGGCCGTGTGCGGAAGTAACGCATGCAGCGGCATCCCCTAGGCTGGGGAGCACCTCCGCGTCTTCGGCAACGAGTGCACCTGGCAGTGGTCCAGGCAGCGCGAGATGTCTTATGAGGAGGCCCAGCGCGCCAGGCGCGCGAGTCGCGTCGGCGCGAAAGCACGGCGCGTGCCGCGCGGAGTAGTTTGGCCGGAGGCGTAGGTTTGCAAAGCTGGGCCCAAACTTTGAATGCATATTGAGGCCGTGCGACTGGGGCCCAATGCAATTTGTATGATTTGCCTCCCACCTGGCACTTCGTGGAAGCTTCTGGCAAACGCAGGTCGAACCTGGTGTGTGTGTGTGTGTTTTAGTTTGCTCCGCAAGCACGCGTGCCAGGTTCAGCGGCGATGATGCGGCGGCAGAAGACTTTGCTCGTCTCTTCAATGCCGAGAGCTTCAGCAGAGCCATGCGGGCGCGTGGCGTAGTGCGCCGCCGCGCCGCGGCACGGTGGGAGGCCCACGCCGAGCCGAGGGCTTTGTATCTTTCTGAGATCTCCGGCAGAGGTTGCGGTGTCAGTGGCATGAAAGAAATGTGCAACTTTAGTGGCATGGTTTTCTCCAAGCCCTCCTGCGCCCTGCATGGAGACATATGGAGACCACTTGTCAGCAAGCCCTCATTCAACGTTTCTCAACCCCGGATCGCATCACGCTTCCCAAAACGATTCAAATTCGAATGGGCAGGCGCAAGTGGAAGACGGCAGCTGGAGCCCCTACGATGACGAGGCGGGGTTTTGTGATAGTTTCTACCTGACCTTAAGCCAATGCACCTTCTTTCGTTGTCCAACGCCGACCATTTCACCATTTTCCAAAAGCTCAACCTTTTGTTGGGATATTGGGTCCTTTGTTGGGTCCTTTGTGTTGGGTTCTTTGGGACCTTTTGTTGGGCCGGAAAAAAGTGCACCCGGCCCAGCCGTTGGCCGCCCTCACCGCCCTCACCAGGCCTCCGCCGCCATCGAGGCTGCGCACCTGGCCGGCCAGCCGCGTTTGGAGCTGCGGCTTGGCCCACGAGGCCGGGCGCAGCTTGGAGGCTCCAGTGGAGGGGTGGCAAGCGTCGGTGCGGCCGTGGGTCAAAACCAATAGGATCCCATTTTGGGGTAGGTGCACCACCCATTTTAGTCGGCATTTTAGTGGGGATTTGGATGTTCACTGGGAGGTACGGGATTTTGACCCATGGCCATGCAATAGACTCTGGATGGATGAGTGGTATCGTTTTGTTCCTTCAGCCTTCAACCACAGTTTTTGAACTTGATGGAGTTGCCTGCTCGCGTCATTCAGGCTGGACATACGTCATTGACCTCGCGAATCAGGCGCCGTGTTGGTCGAACATGCGTGATTCTTTGTGCCGTTTTTCCATCGCTGACAAGCTGCTAGTAGCACATGAGGGGCTGGCAATACTCCTGGCGTTACATGCAAACAATTGTGCAACTGTTTGGTGGAGACAGACGACATCGAAAATGTCGAGAACACGGTGACGGTGGTTGGTTTCATGTGGTGGCCTGCTACACACGATGAATGTTGAGTTCCTGAACAAAATTGCCAACATGTCTCATGTATATCCAAGTCAGAGGGACGCAGAGACCTGGGACGCGGGAGCATGACGTGTGGCCAAGTAGCTTGTCTAAGACGACGCCTTTGTTTTTTTGTTGATTGCAGTTTGGATTTGCTGTAATGCGAGTTCAGCAGATGCTGTGGATGGGCAGTTTGATGCGTACAGCGACAACGATCGGGAATCAGATGCGCGTGCGGTTTTGTTTAAAGTGTGGCCGCTGCTTCCTCAAATGCCATGCCAGTTTGCAGCAGAAAAGAGTTGTGCAAGGCTTTCTCCCTTTCAGGCAAACCGTTGCCCCGCATCGCATGCGCTGACATGCGCTGAGGTTCAGCTGAACCCCAAGACGCGGAAGTCGCGCCAGTTCCTTAGCCTTCACATCTGCCGCAACGCCTTCAAGGCAACGCCTTCAGGGCATTTCAAGGCAGGGTTCCAGTTTTTGACTAGCCCAAGAAAGACTTAAACCCAGGGGTGGTTTATCCCCCCCCCAAACCCACGAGTGGTTCCTTTCCCCCCAAAAGGAGAACCGAAAACATTAAGTCCATCTTGGGGGAGTCAATCAGTTGGGGGGAACCCTGCCTTGAAGGTGACATGAGGTGTCCGGTTGCTGCCATAGGCAGCCCCATTGGGCCCAGCCATCGGCAAATCGGCCGTTTGAGGCCCCATCCGGCGGTCAGAGGCTGTGGCTTCCCCCGTGTCGCCAGAGGCAGCGGCTGCAGGAGTTCCTTGCCTGTTGAGAGAAGGTTTCAGGCCGGTTTTCGGGGGGCATTTGGGGTTGATGTCATTTTCAGGCTGGGTTTTGCTGGGCATTTGGCTGTTGATGTCATGGGGCACTTTTTGGCGGATGGATTCCAAAGGTTTCAGGTAGGTTCTAACTAGATTTTAGTGGAATCCGTCTATGTGTCCAGAAAGAATTGCACAGACAGCTTCATCTCCCGTTTCCGGCTAGACCACGTGGTGTATTGCAGTCAGCCAGCAGGCCAAGACTCAAAGTTGTGCCCTTGAGACAGGCGCCTTGGCTACGCTCCAAGCAGTCTGGCCATTATACTCCTTGAACCCTGTTACTTTTGTCCTCAAGACGCTCACATTCCTTCCAACTCCCCTCCCCCCCCGCCCCCCCCCCAAAACAAAAGATCACCCCACCTCCCGCAAGATCCGCGGGATCCCTAGAGTTTTCCCACCTCCGCTTCACCTGACTCGTCCTTTCTAAGGCGCGGCTCACGGAGGAGGAGCTGGCGGAGACCATCAGGTTCTTCGCGCCTCGGGCCGTGTCGGGTGTCGGGGGCCGCGTCGGGCAACGCGAAGGCGAAGGGCGAAGCGCCTCCTTTGCTGTCAAGGAATCCCAAGGTGAAAGTCAGAAGTGACACGCCAAGGCCCTTTGGACAGCGCGAGAGAAAGGGAGAGATGCGCAACATGCCTTTCTGAAACCAAAGCTCGGGAGCATCAAATGATTTAAATGGCAGGCCATAGTGGCTTGATAACGCATGTAGCCCCCCGTTGTTGGATACCCGGAACCATGCTTTTGTCCCCTCCAAACCTCGGAAGCTGCATGTTTCAAACGAAAGCTGCCTAAGGTTGACATGCAGACGCTGCCGCCAGCGCCGCCTCCACCTCCACCTCCCACCATGTCGGAGCACGCTACGGGGCACAGGCATGGCTGTGAATGTGAACAAAATGTGGGAAATGAGGCACGCCACGTCAAGAGCATTGCCACAAACGCAGTTCTCAGACCATTGACTTTTGGTTTGGCCGCGTGCAGTCCTGCTCAAAGAAAGACAAGCGTGCCCCTGTGATATGTTCCCCAAAGAAAGGGGATCTATTTGGGGCAGAGAAAGGACACGAAAAGCTGGCCATGGCTAGTCCATGCCTCGCAGGAGCCTGTGAGCGGCGGTGCCGGAAGCGCTTAAAAGCGATGGCGTTCCGTGGCTCATCCCATCTGAAGGGTTGCAAAAGCTCAGGGTCCTGGCCTCGTTAAGGCAGGCGACCTGGGAAATTCGGAGCTGAGCTTTAAACTGCATGCGACAACGCACTGCCAAGGACTTTGGTCGATCTTTGTGAAGTTGGACCTGTGTGGTTTTCACCAGGCAACGGTGATATTGGGCTGCCGGGTACTTCAAGAGTTCTTGTTGCTCAAAACATGCGTGCTGAGATACCTTACGCGTAGGCACCCCACATGCACGGACTTCTAGGCTGCGAGGCAGGCTGAAAAGCGAAGCGTGCAGAGTGGCCTGCTCTGCGTTGAGGAGCAAATGCCCATTCGCTTGGCCTGCCAGCAAAGCAGCCCGTTCCCTTTGAAAGCCAGTCGGCTGGCTGAAGCAGAAAAAGTTGGAGGCGGACGCCCGGAGTTCTTGCAGAGAGCAACTTGAACATTGCCCGTGAGCTCAAAGGTGACCTCAAGACTTCGAAGGCTATGGCGCGAACCGCATGTCAGGAAGTTCCTTTCAAAAGCGAAAAGAGCTCACAGAGCGCGGATCTGTTGCCATGGCGGATGATGACTCGTCTTTTGCCTCCACGACCTCGCTGGAGCTGATGCACGAGGCAGGGGCTCAAGGTAGCGAGGCGTTCCTGTCAAACATCTGCGGGTCTCCAAGCTGGTGAAAACAGTGCCCCAGTCGCAAACTCGGTGTGGAACCATGGCAAGGGGAGCCACAGTCCTGCCTATGTCTCAAAATGGTCTGGATCCATGTGTGTGTGTGTGTCACGTCAGGATGTCGAGGGACAGGAGCGTGCCAGATTCGGCGGCCAGGCGCGGCAAAGCATCATGCAATATCCACACACATATGTGTATATATATGCATGCACATGTGTGTGTGTAATGCTTTGCTTGTTTTTTGGTTTTACCCCAAATGCACATTGCTTGTGTTTTCAACCACATGCGCACACACACAGATAGACATATATATATATATATATATTTAATATTATATATATATATGAGTAATGCTCTTCCTCTTTTTTTTTTTAAACCACATGCGCGCGCGCACACACACAGACACACAGACACAGACACAGACACAGACACAGACACAGACACAGACACAGACACAGACACAGACACAGACACAGACACAGACACAGACACAGACACAGACACAGACACAGACACAGACACAGACACAGACACAGACACAGACACAGACACACAGACACAGACACAGACACAGACACAGACACAGACACAGACACAGACACAGACACAGACACAGACACAGACACAGACACAGACACAGACACAGACACAGACACACACACACACACACACACACACACACACACACACACACACACAGAGACACACACACACACACACACCCAAACAAACCCACCCACACACACACACACCCAAACAAACCCACCCACACACCCACACACACACCCACACACACACACACACACACACCCAAACAAACCCACCCACACACCCACACACACACACACACCCAAACAAACCCACCCACACACCCACACACACACACACACCCAAACAAACCCACCCACACACCCACACACACACACACACCCAAACAAACCCACCCACACACCCACACACACACACACCCAAACAAACCCACCCACACACCCACACACACACACACACACGTATATACACATATGTACCCTTCGCGACCGGATGTAGTTGACTTAGTGGCACGGGTTTGTGCGGAAACACGCCAATTGCCCGATGCAGTCCATGGGTCCATTCGGCAGGACTCCGCCGCCCAATCCCCAAGCCGGGCCGAGGCCTTGGATAGAGGTCGAAGCATCGGGAACAAAAAGAAACAAGACACAAAACAACACACAAAAAGAAGAGAAACAAACAAAACAAAACAAAACAAAACAAACAAAACAAACAAAACAACCAATCAAACACAAATCATGTCCCCCCCCCTCCGTTTTGGTGGCCCCAAGGCCAGCGGCATGGCGAATGAGAGCAAGACCAGCATCAGGAAGCTGGGTGCTGCTGCAGTCCTGTGGCTTCAATTGGGTTGATCAAAAGGTCCGTGATACATGGGATGACCAAGCAAGGGAGGAGAACCATTAAGCAAACGATGACATGTCCCACAAAGGGAGGCAAACCATAAAAAAGCGACGATGTGTCCCACAATGGTAACTTTCAAAAGTTAGCCACGGTTATTGGAAAACCATTAAACAGATTTGATATGTCATGATATGCCCCACGGTCCCATGCGTCCCACAAAATAGTAGCTTTCAAAAGTTAGCCATTCATTCAAGGCCAGGAATATTGATCAACCCCACATGTGCATATCCCATTCGATGCCTATAAGTACAGATATAGTATGGCATTGAAGTGGTAGGACATTTGAGCGTGTGGGTATTATTTGGTATTGTAGAGATTTCATCAATGCAAGCCTTCCGGTGGAAGTCCCTCAAATGCCAGTAGAGGGTGGACGTGTGCACATGAATGTCATGTGCCCACTTGGTCTCAGGATGGGACGCTGTGAGAACGCCTTGGGAGAACGAAGCAGATTATGCAGTGAGGGCTGTATGTTGCCAGACTTTTTCAGAGGTTTGAGAGGTTTGGCAGGGCCCCAAGTTGAGTTTAAGCACTCCAAGGAACATTGGCAATCTCAGCATAATTAATTGTATAGCAACTATCATACATGCATTGCCTCTCAAGCCTTTGAACCTCCATCTGCGCATATCTGCGTACTTTGTTCAATGTAAGTTGCAGGCACGCGCGTTTATCAGCTTGTTCTTTGGATATCTAAGGACTGGGTGGACTATTCGTATCCCAGGGTCAATCTGGTTTTGCTCCCTAAGAAATAGGCTTGCAGGCTCCATGTTTGACGCACTCCGCTCGGGGTTCTGAAGGACTGTACCTCACTCCATGTTCGCTCGCTAGGTGTTGGTGACTGCTCTTGCCAGCGTCTTGGTCACCGTGGACACCACAGCATCCACCCCGCGCGTGTCAAGCTCGCGCTTGGAATCGCAGACGATCCCTTTGGCTGCGCCTCCACGAGATTTGCAGGCGGGGCCAGGGCAGAGAAGGTCGAAAAGGGCATCGTGAAGAAGACCAAGGGCCCGGAATGCATAGGATCATCACTACGAGGATTTATGGGCGTACAATTGTCAGGAAACCTTCAAGAATTCACGTGCTAACTATTCATACATATTCATACCAGCTACGCATGGTGTCCGCTGGCCAGTGTTCTTGGTGCCTCTCACTCGGGTCAGACCGTCCTAGCAGATCCCACGCTCTTCAAGTGCCCCAAAACACAACGAGCATAGGCCGCGCAAAGCAATCATTGCCTGCACGTGAACTCCTGCGCAGTACCATTTTAACCACCTGTTTGCCACAACAGGAAGACAGCAACATCCGCGATTCGAAGTTGAAGCTCTTGCATCCAGCTGGGCGCTGAATGAATGAGAATTGCAGTAGTAGGAATCATGCCTTCAAAATGGCCTTTTGAGAGGGATTCGACTGAGTGTTCAGTGACTTGCGCTTGAACCTTGGAAAGGTAGTCAAAGACTCCAAAGGTTGGTGATGCTGCAGATGTTGGTTTCGGTTTGTGCAAGGTGGTCATTCGCCGCTTCATGATTTGGCAGTCGGCGCAGAACACCGGGGATCGGCTCACCAGGACGGGGTGCTTTGCACGAGATCATGGGGAACATTTGGGGCAGTCCCAGCCAGAAATAGTTGTGACCGCCTTCTTAATTCTTTACGTGGTTCTGGGTCGACCATGTTTGTACCGGGTTTTGATTGTGACTCACATGCTGTCACCAACTCGCCGCAGAGAAACATAAATGTTCAAGTGCATGAATCGCCAGGAAATGGGATGGGGAGCTGCAGGAGGATTTCCCGTTCTCAGGCTGGGGGTGCAAAGGGAGCAACAGGAGTGCGGCTACGCAAAGTTGGAAGAAGAATAGTTGAGATCTTGCCAAGCTACTTGCGCCCAGAGATGTGTTTTCTCAGCTTGCAGGGTTTGCACGAAACCCGGAACATGTCCGGATAGACCGACAACCCGACAGAACACAGCTTGTAGCAGGGCATAGGTTTCATCTAGCGGTTTCGCAAGCAGGTGCGCCCATTGCCAACAGTTGCTTGTGCGGCGGTGCCCGCTTATTTGCCCGTGGCGCCTTCTTAATGTATACAGTGTCGTTGGTAATCTTGCCCCTCATCCTCAAGCAGTGCAGAGTAACAACCCGACTACATTTGCTCATAAGTAGGTCTTGCAGTATGTTTCCTTTAGACAGGTACACCTTTTCCAGCCAGCACGATTGCTTTGAGCAAAGAAGAGCATGGACAAATCCCTACGGGAGGGGTGCGAGTTCATAATGTAAGGCCCCACGGTGGAAATCTCCAACGAGGCTGGGCAAATCATCGAGGGCTTTGGCGGTGCCTTCACCGAAGCTGCTGCCATGATCTTTAGGCGCGCTGCGCGGACGGCAATGTCCTAAGGGCGATCTGGTTTCTTGAAATGTGTCTCATCAAATCTGCCAACTTTTTTTTTTTTTTTTTTTTTTCCGTCTTTTTCAATCTTGCGATTGCACACTTCTTCATTGCCAGCTTGGGGAATGTGAGTTTGTGTTTAGAGACTCTATTGTTTGTCATGGTCCTCAGGCATGATGCGCCATTCAGCCCCAGTAACTCAGTACAAGCAGTGTGCGCAGGTTGTTGTGCCTGAAGCGGCCCACAAGCGGAGTCGTGAACAATGTAAGCTCAAATCAATTGACAGTTTGCTTTGCGCTTGTCGTTTGAGCATTACACCCGCAACAGTCTATGTGCGTCAGAATGTGTGATGCATTCTCGGTAGGATCGACCAGTTTTTAAGCCGGCGGTTCGCCCATTCACCATTACAGTGTGTGTGTAATCCCATGCATTTGGCATGGGCATTTGTTTGATTATAAATATATATATATATAATATATATATATATATATAAACATCATATATGCGTATATATTCAGAGTTTCGAACATACCGATAGACCTTGTTGGATGCGTATGACATGTACTTCCAAAGGTGACCTTGGCCCACAAGAGGTGAAGACCAGGCAAATACCACCCGGCAAGTGCATTTGCGAATTTCTGGGCTTGTGCTCCGGCAGCAGCTCCCTTGCCGTGCTCCCTTCCCGTGCCCTGCACAGGAAGCTCTCGCCAGACCAGAAGTCTCGATTCTTGGAGGACTACTTCCATCTTGATGGCCTGGGCTGCTTGACTTTCCGATCATGTGTGGGCGTCGATATTCCCATGCCACACATTCTCAGTGCAGTCGTGTTGTTGGACGTCGAACCTGGGAGCGTGTGCCTTTGGCTGTCCTTGCAGACGCATGCAAAGGGAGCTTCAAATTCTGGAGTTGAGCCAGAGGTTTGTCGTGCGCTGTCAGGTTACGTGCTGGGTCGCACTCACATCAACAGCTGTGATTTTTCCATCGGCAGCTATTCCTTTGACGATACGGACGGCGACGCGACTCGATTGCATGTTGCTGTGCTTCATATATTCATTTGCTACGTGTTGCCATTCCACGGCAGGAGCACGGCATTCTAGATGTTGCAAGACCGATTCTCAATTGCTGTGAATCTGTGGCTGGCACTGTCCAGGTCGAGCTCAAGAAATTCGACACCGACCTGACCCGTGACAAGGAGAATTTGATTCCCCTCATTTGGGCAGCTCAGTACATGGTGAGGCAGGTTTGGCTGCGGGGCTGAGAACCGGGTTCGCCGCCTTGTCAGGATTTGTGGCTCGACTTGGGATGGGACAAGTAGCCGATGGGTACACCGTGATGGGACTCCTCATACATGAGTGCTTGTAAGCTGAGGGTTTGACTTTGGGCTAGTCCGTTGCCTTTTCTTGTGTACTCATGGTTACTTTTTTCATTGCCGGCAGGGCACCCCGCTTCGGCCAATCCGAAGGTTCGCATTTCACACAATGCAACAACTCCTCAGCACTTTCGAAGATGGACTCGTCACCCTCTAGTATAGCAGTCAAGGGCCAACATGCGTCCTATTTGGCCATGCTGGACTCGTCAAACCTCAGTCCACTCGGAGGGCCACATGGCCATTTTGGGGTGGATGAACATCCATTGCCACCTATTTGGATGTTCACCAGGGGTACCTTAGGTTTTGACATGTTTTGACCCACAGCCACGTGGATCTATTCGCTGGCCCGTGCCGGTGCCAGGGCGCAGGGGCGAGAGCTGAAAATGCTGGCCTCTCCCTGGAGCCCTCCAGCCTGGATGAAGAACCAGACCTGGAACCCGGCCGCGCCAGCCACTTGGACCGAAGAAAAGCAGGGCCCCGGCTGCCGCGGCTTGGGCGGAAATCGATTTGCGTGGGAGACATGGAAACCACATGTCAGGTGGAAGGATCTGTGATTAAGACGTAGAGGACGCCATTTTGTGAATGTGCTTCTCGAGGCTTGTGAAAATGCCTGCGCACTTGGCGTTCCTCTGCAGTTTCTAACGCTGCTAGCAGCCATTTGCAAACTGAGCCGCATACAGGCCACAAGTGAAAGACACTGAAAGGGTATCTCGCTCCTGGGCATTGGGCGTAAACGCGCGCAGAATGCCACCAAGACAGGTTTGAGCTCAAGCAGTTAAAACTGCGCCTCAGTTGTCAACCGAAATAGGCTCAGTTGTCAACCGAAATAGCTTCAGAGAGAATTTGATGGAATCCCATCCACTTGCAATTGTGCTTGACGTCTAGGGGTTTGAGGCAGGAGCGGCGCAGAAGGCTTCCACTTGCCACTTTCGTGAGTGGTGTGCTGCCAAAAATAGCAGTTTCTATCGTCCTGGATTGATCCAAGTCACTCGCAAGTGACAGGTTGGTTGCCCTTCCTTACGCCCTGCAACAGGATGTTCAATATGATTTTAGCAAAGCAAGGTGTGATGGGGAACCGGTATGCAAAGTCCACTGCTTCAGGTCCGGCTTATACAGCCTCGCGACTTCTATGATTCTTCATTGTGTCATTATGTTCTGCTCTTTGAGGGGGGGAGGGGGGGGGCGGCCTCACATTGGCCTCACATTATCCATGCCAGCCCACTGAAGTCATCCTTCGCAGAGGGATTGCGACTTGCACCCGCCGAGACCATGGACCACTCGGGCTCGCCATGCCTCAAGGAGGGCATGGAAAGCGTGTGGGCCAAGTATATGGCAAAGTGGGTGGCGTCTTACAAGGCGCGAGTCATATGGTTCGTGTTGGGCCAGCACACCCGCACCCTTAAATACCGAATTGGGGGAGGGGGGTGACATTAGGCAAAGTCTCGAGCGAGAGGAAGATTGACTGCACCATCTGAACACCCAGCCCTGCAGGCACATGGGATCCCCATATGGGCCATGACGGTGCAAAATGAGCCGGAGAACAACGCATCATGGGAAGCATGCCGCTTGGAAAGGCTGTGTGAGCCTGAATAGGTAGAAGCATGTAGACATACTGTACGCAGACCCATGTGCATTATTGGAGGGGACATGGATTTGCTTGCGCGAGGCTTCCCGACAGAAAGGAGACCATTGAAAGCTGCCCATTTGCTTGGCGTCGCTTAGGTCTCTTCACAGCAGATGAGGAGGCAGACTTCGTTGCGAAGCATTTGGGCCTGGAAGCCCGGAGTGGGCAGGGCGACAGGGCGAGTTTAGGAGGGCAACTGCCATGCCGCGACACATCACGTCTCGGTGTTGTGCATGGGAAGGCCCGGGCAAGCAATGTGGCCTAAAACAAGAGATATGTCCCGAAACGATCAGTGACATTCTCCAGCCGAAGCTGTGATGAGCTTTCACTGGTAGCTGTCCACAAGAGAGATGGGCAGCATCAAATCAATGGAAACCAACGGCACACTCATGTGCACAAGCACGGGCCTTCACGGGTGGCTGTTTGGGCACTTGATTCTGCCGCTTTCTCCTGTAAAAAGTCAGAAGTCCCATGTTGAGCTTTCAGTTGGGCTCAGGTCCTGTGATGCGAAATGAGCATCCCGCCTCCTGTCTGCAAAGAAGTTTGTTGAAGTGGGAATTGTTCAGCCCGTCATTCTTCGAACAATGCTGGTCCAAGAGCCGAGTTGCTCCTCTCGTTTTGGTTTTCAGGCTTTGCAAGCTTTTCGGGGAGTGCGTTCTGAAATCCGTATTATAATGTCCAAATGGGATTAGTAAAGGGGGGACCCCCCTTCCCTCAACGATGGGGGTATCTAGAATAGTATCTTGAGATCCAGGTGAAGTGAGTTTCCATTTGATTTAGTATTGGTAGACTTGAGTTTCCATTTGATTTAGTATTGCTGGAGCTTCCTTTTGTTTTTCTTAGTGCGGGCCAGGCAACAAGACTTTATTTCGGGGGGCCCTGAAATAATGTCAAGTTGGGGGCTGAAGTACTACCCCCTTTGTGGGTTTGATTGTGGGCAGGTTTTAAACAAGAGACATGTAAGAAAACATGGGTTTAGTAAAGCTGACAGTTTTGGATTTAAGGAACAAGGTACCAAAGATCCAAGGACCAGGTGTTGGCTTGGCTATCTCCTCGCCTTTCTCTCTTTCTTTTCCTGTTTTTTTTTTGCTTTTGTTTTTTTTTTGGCGCGGGTGGCGGGTGCTTGTCTTTAATCCAGGTGCATTTATTAATCTTTTTGGGCCCCCCATTTGTCTTTGTTACGCGTGCATTTTTAATCCCATTTGGACATTAAGCATCCGGAATGCAATACGCCGATGCTAGGAAGTTCAGATCTACGCCTTTGACCACAACAAAGACCACGTCTACGAGTACGCCACAAAAGTTCTCAACAACAAGGATGCTCGGCCCAGAAGTCTTAGCCTGAAGCAGATGTCCTTTGTGTTTGAAACGCTTCTTGTGAGGGCTTTTGGCCGTTGGAGCCTTTTGGTCCCAAGGATGCGAGTCAGTACCTCACCGGCATCGCTTATCATTGGTATTCGGGAGATGGTTGGGACAATCTGCAGAAGCTCCAGGCGGGGTGAGGACACATTTGCCGTGGATCGAACTGTTTGTTTGTTTCTTTTCTTATGGTTCTTGCGGGCGCGGAGTGCGGGTGTGTGTTGTGTCTGGGGACGGTGTGTGATGGGCCACAAGAGCGGAACAGGACGAGCTCCAGCACACCGGCTTCAAGCTCCTGGGAAGCGAAGCCACCTGGGAGGCCCGGACGGTTTGTATCTGCCCAGTGGCTCCGCTTGCCCAAGGTGAGACAGGGTGAAAACGGTGGTACACCTTAGGCGTCCTTAGGCGTCCGAATATGTCAATCGAAGCCTTGAGTGCCCGGTGCTTGTCGAATACAGCCAAGTCGTGGGATTGCTAGGGTGTGCAAATCGAAGTTATGGAAATGGACTTCCATTTAGGCGGAGTTGCGTTGAGTCGGCATGGCTGTTCCAGACTTACCGTAATGTTTTCTATCGGACCTGGCAGGCATACCGCTGGAAAAAGGGCACCACCTTGGCCAAAGGCGACTGGTCCTTCGGGGAGGGCTATGCCCATGATATCATCGGCGACCTGAACCGGGGCGCTGTTGGCTGGTTGGACCGGGGTGTACCTTTAAAGCCTCGGGCTTTCCAGCGCGATGTTCCGTGGAGCTGGCCTTGTTTCACGTAGAATTGCTGTTTGCTGTCGCCATTGCATGTGTTTATGATCACTGCCGGTGTTGGCTCTGCTTGGAGCAAAGCCGCGCTTCATTGCTCCAAGCAGAGTAGGGAGTGCAAGGCACAGAGTGACACGCCTTCCTTTGCTTGGGTGCCAATATGTCTACTGACGTGGGCCTGTCATGAATGAAGCCCGGAGGCAGAGCTAGCGAGCATCTCCCGCTCCCTGAAGGACTGGAACCTGATCTTGGACGAGAAAGGGGGCCCCAACCACGTGAACAACGTGTGCGATGCCGCCATGCAGGCAGGCAAGTTGGATTCGATTCGGTCCTGTACCACGTGCGAGTTCCAGGCGCACCAAAACTAAGGGGCTTTCCCAATTCCCCAGTGTCTCGCATATGTTTGCCATATCATGCTGGGTTGGCCCTCCCCTCCCCGCCATTCCTTCATGCGCAGGTGAACTTTACCACCAAAGAAGTGTACCGACACCCGCAGTTCTACTACATTGGCCGCGTGCTGAGCCTTCAAAACGTATTGAAGGACCTTGGCCAGATTTTGCGACTTGAAGCTGCGCAATCGAATACTCAGGCCACTTCTCCAAGTTCTTCCTACCGGGATCTGTGCATCTCGGGACGACGGTGCACAACAGCGGAGCTAAACCAGGCAGTTGTGGGCAGAATCCTTCTCCCTGGGGCAGTGACAGTTGCTCCTCCCAGTGAAATAGAGCTGGACAGGCGCAGAAATGCAAAGGCTGTGTTTCTGGTGTTCGCAAAACTGTTTGCGTCCTCCAGAAAATCGGCAACAGTCAGATCACAAAACACACACACACAACATGTTGTATTATCATTTGCGTCCGTGACACAGCGTGCCGAATCCTTGCTGCTGTTCAAAACCTGGAGTGGAACCACGCGAATCGTAGCTGGTCAAGCCTCGTCCGAGTTCCCCTTTTCTGGGGATCCCTCAGGTCAAAACCGGAACCCCACAGGCCTTGGGCCTTTTGCTTCTGCCCCGCCAGTGGGCCAACGCCCGTACGGCGTCTGCACTGCCGACGACGGCATCGAGGCGACCGCCGTGCGCAGGCCGAACGGCCAGGCCGGGCAGGTTGATCATTGGCCTGCAAGCATCTGGCTCTGATGGTTACAACTTGACTGTCCAGCGTAGTTCTTGGCACTTGCTGGGTTTGATGCACTGCAGGTGGCAGTCGCCACGCTCTCAGCTAGCCATTTTGCCATAACCCCCTTGACTGCCCGGCAGCCGTGCCCGAACTATCCGAGGTGGTCTTGAATTGCGGCGACGTGCAGAAGGCACCTCTCGACTCTCCTCACTTGGGAAGAAGTGACGGCACACCAGGAGTTCAAGCTCAAGTACACCAGCCTCGCTGCGAAGCTTGTCATTCCAGCCCACGGCGTGCAGACCTTTTTGTTCCAGGACCGATCGAATTTGCCAGCATGAAGTGCAAGCATAATTTGCTGCCCTCAGGAGATTATGAGCATTTGAGCGCGCTTGTCTGCACTGGAAGCAGTTCTGAACAAGTGCGCCATGTCAAATTTCCGGGGGCAACGCTGCCCGCCATCACATCGAATCGCTTTTGCATAGGGCATAGGGTAGCAGTCGCCTTTGTGTTTTGGCAGCTGCGGTTTGTCTCACTTTCAGAGGCCGTAGGCTTCACTTGCCAGAAACTTTGCTTTAGTCTCGACTTCCCAACTCGAGGCCTTTTGCATTGCCTCTCTTGCTTGGATAGAGGAAAAGGGCATCGCGTGCGTTTCCAGGCTTGCACTCTGGGCTAAATCGCTGCGAAAGCATGTGGCTGGGGAGCTGCTTCCATCAATTTTAGTGGCACAACGGGACGGAAGCAACGACCCAATTGGCACACCACACACAGAAGCAACTCATGCCCTGCGTATTGAAAACTGTCAGACAGAGCCGCCAAGGCTGAACACACTGGAGGCGATAGTTATAATTTCACCAGCTTTGCCCTTGGAATAAAATGTTGTGATCGCCAAAGAAGGGCCTGTCGAGTCAGCTTTTTAAACATTCGTTGGGCTAGTGTCTAAAAATACGGACGCTCAGCGTGCTGAGAGACCCGGAGATGCTCCAGGGCATGACAGGAGGCTTCGGGGTGCATGCGACATATGAAATTATGAAGTTGTGTTTTTTTGAGAGAGCGGCACCGGGTGCAGGGGTTACTGATCCATGTTGTTCTGCCGAGTGCTGAGGCCGTACCGCACCATGCCATGCCGCTGAAAGTTTAATTCAGCAGCAGCCATAAGCGATTGCCAACCCTGGTGCAAACATCAGAGCCTGGGCCAGATGGACAAGCAAGGAGGGGGAGCTGGTTTAGAGTTGAGATTGAGAAAAGAACGCAGTGCCTCAGAATCCTTGGTTTGGTGGTGCTCATGACTGGCTATGTTTGCTCATCTCCTTGCACTAGATTGTGTTTTCATTCAGGCGCTCAGGCTAGTGTGGTACAGTCCCAAGGTCCCAAAGCTGACGTCATGGGCAACTTGGTTTGCCCATCACAACAGCAAATCGGCTCAGGCTGTGAGCAGAAGAAAAGATACAGACGTGTTGCCGGGCTCACGCAACATCCATCTTCCAATTGCATAGTCGTTTGCGCTGAGCTTTCGAGGTGAATTTGAACATGCTCCTGTATATTCACTGATTCCTTGGCTTTGGCTGTTGGTACCGGCCTGGCTGTACTTGAAATTGCCCATTTTTGGATGGCCCCATTGCAGTTGCAGCCGGGCTAGTTTGCAGTGTTTGAAGCAAGCTTTTGCGACATGTTGGGAAGTGACACGCCATATTCAATCGTTAGTCAAACAGGCTAGCAGATCCATCATCCACTCTTTGTCAGAGTTGTGGGGGTTGTAGCCACCCCTTCTGCCCGGCTTCCACTGTGCAGGGTCTGGTTTTTGTCCAAAAATGGCCGCAGAAGTTGTCAAACTCGTTATGATTACGTAAAGCTGGTGAAACTCCGTCGGACACAATTTCATGTTTGTTCTATTCCTTGAGTTCTCGTTGGCTCATTTTCTTCGGGCACGCTGGCCTGTGCACAACTTAAATGACAGGCGCCGGCACGAACGATTGGGGACAGTGGAAGCGAGACTGTTGAAGATCTAACTTGTGCAAGCCCACATCAAGCGTTTGCTACCAAACCAATTCCACAGCCCCCGTACCCAAGCTCATGAAGGTACGAGAGTTGTTCCTAAGGGTTCCGCATGGGATGGCTTCAGCAATGTCACGGGACGGGTATGCAGACGATACATGGCTGATTGAGCTGGAGCGTCGATCCAAGAAGCACTCGAGCGGCGTTGGCGTGTCGCGTGCGCCGCGTGCGCAGGCGCAAAACCAGGCGCTGAGGGAGAAGCTGTCGGGGCTTGGGCAGCTGCCGCAACTAGGCTGGAAGGGGTCAGCCAAAGGACAAATACTGCACTTGCGGACAAAAATGGGGCAGAGACATTGAAGAACTTGCAAAAATGCTCAGCAAAATCGAGGCTCGCCAATGGCTTATTGCTTTGCCCTGGAATGAACACGTACCCCAGTGGTGGCAATCGTTACTCTACGCTGTTGCCATAGGGTACCAGGATGCGCCAACAAATGGCCACTTCTTCGGTGCTTGTCAAAACAAGACCCTCTCGTCAAGTACGATAACCGAACAAAATACAATAAGCCATGATGCTTGAATAAGCAGTTTTAATAGATTGGTTTACATTTCTCAGGATATGTGAGGGGTTTTGGATTGGAGCTGGCTGAGGGCGTTGGAGCAGGGAAGTGCCAAACGTACACCTTGATAACAGGGCGAGGAGTCAGCCGAAAAGTTGGTGGCTTAAAAATTGTTGACATTTAGTATTGCTGAATTTGAACTTAGTTATTTGGAGATGATGGTCTAGAAAAGTAAAACTTGCCATAATAGGATGCAAGTTATCGTTCGGGGCAAAGACTAATTCCCCCACGCCAAGTAGAAATCATCAGATTTGGGACTTGAGGCATAGGGATTTCACCGTGTGGGTCACGACGTGGCAGGCCAGGACCGCCCCAGTCATAGTTTGCACTGAGCTTGCAGCGGGCTGTGAGCGGAAGTTGCCAAGCCTTGCCGCTTGCAAGCCTTGCCGCTTGCAGGCCTTGCAGCGAGGAAATCTCCTCGAAGCGGAAACGCGGAATGCTCAGTCACTTTGGCAAATTCGGACGGGTGTGTCAGCGCTGAACATTGTTCTCCGAGCAGGCCCCTGTGTTCTAAACGGACAAAGAATGACTTTTATTGGCAGCTCCTTGCCAGGTGCATCGCTTGATGGCCTTCTGACGGTCCGTGCATAAGGCCAACACGCCTTGAATGCCCGACTTGTCCCGCAGCCGCGTTAGTATCAGACGGACCGCCCAAGCAGGGAATCGACAACATCCAAAAAGGCCACACGGAGCCTGACAATCTACGGAGCCCTAACCAACAGAGTTGACCCTTTTGGAGCCTTGCCGGTTGCACGCTCGGCCATGATGGCAGACGACAGGTTTTACCGGATGTACTCCATTGAGCCAACTGAGCAGTCCGTGCTAGTGGCACGGGACCAACTTCCCGAGTTCCCAGAACAGGACTGCAAGGCCTTTGCGAAGGCTCCAAGTAGAGCCATGGACTCATGGAACGAGTGTTCGCCAGTTCTTTGGCGCTGGCATGAGGGTTCCAGCTGAACATGCTTAATAGATTTGCAGATGAGTCCTTGCTAGCTTTTTCAACCTAATCCGTCAGTTGCTCAAGCAAACTGAGCTAAGTCACCAAACATGTATGCTGCATGTATCTGTTTTGATTTCGAGACCATGGGGTTTTGGGCACAGACTACTCGTGCAGGAGGCGGCTTCAGCGTGCACTGCTCCAAGGCTTAGACACTCGCTCTCCACTCCTCTGCTCCAACAGTCCGAAAGGGTCTCCGCGATCTTCCAACAGCTCATTGATCGCGTAGTTGAGCAGCACATATGGGAGCTGGCCGAAGTTCAGATTTGCGTGGACCAGCTGCAGACGGAAAACGACGACCTGAAAAAGGGCGTCTCTGTCTCTGTGGAGATGATGAGTTCTTCGGGCTCGTCCTCGACATCAGAGAGGGAGGTTGTTGGTGTGACCTCCACGGCATCCAAAAAGAAGCGGCGGCAGGTGCATGCAAGCCAGCTGCTACATGCTTTTGACACCCCTGAGCAGACGGACGATGCTGCGGACCTATTGAAAAGCCCGCAGGGTGGATCACAACTGTCGTTGGGCGAGGCACCCAACTTGCAATACTTCCAGTCACGCTCATTTGAGGTGCCCAGAAATGATCTTGAGGCTTGGTTGACGTCCAACACGTTTGAGATGATGATTGCGGTGGCGCTGTTTCTCAACGTGGTTTTGATGGCTGCAGAGTTGCAGGTATTTGGCTCAGCTGCGGGCAGCGCACTGGGGCTCACTGAGCCTGTAGTTCCGCCAGAAATGCTGCCAACGGTTCGCACATTTTTCCTTGTAGGGGATGTGATGTTCACTGGCTTTTTTGCATTGGACGTCCTCCTGCGGATTTGCGTTTTGAAGAAGGAATTTTGGAGGCACTGCACAAACTACATGGACCTTGCTGTGACAGCAGCCTCAGTCGTGGAAGTGGCTGTGTACTACACTGACACGCTCCCAATGAACCTAGGCTTGCTACGTGTGCTCCGCATTGGAAAGCTTGCTCGGGCCATACGGATGCTGCACATGAGCCGTGTGTTAGGATCGCTTCAGTTGCTGATCAAGTGCTTGCTAGGAAGTGCCAACATGCTGTGGTGGAGTTTTTGCTTGCTTTCCTTCTTTCAATGCGTTGCCGGCCTGATCCTGAGCACCCTTTGCAACGATTTCGTCCTTGATCTCAACAGAGAAGTGGAGCTGCGAGAGGACGTTTTCGAGTATTATGGCACATTCACTCGAACCACACTGACAATGTTTGAGATCCTCTTCGGGAACTTTGGACCGCCAGCGAGGGTCTTGGTGGAATATGTCAGCGAGGCTTTCTCCTTCTTCTTTGTCGCTTACCGGTGTGTTTTTCTATATGCTGTGCTCAATGTGATCAATGCTGCCTCTCGGCACGTGATTCATGATGCAGCTAAGTGCCATATTCATTGTCCATGTCCATGTGTTGGCCCAAGAGGCCCTGATCCAGAAGTTTGAATTACGCAACATAAACTTGCATTGGTTCAGGCTTACCCTTGGCTGCCGGTGTTCGCCAGGTTGCATGACAATGCCAGGGCATGAATTGCAGCAAGGCACGAACAAACCGCATGCATGACAAGGTATTTGTGCAGCAGACTCTGAAGACAGCCAGCACGGATGAAGAGATTGCCTTCAAGCAGAAGGAGAAGGACACCGCAGCATATACCAGGACGGGAATTGACATGGGAATTGACATACCCGGAGCAATTTGGTTTGGGCAATTGCCTCGAATCGATTCCCTGCAACGCTCAGGGCTAGAATTCGAAAAACATGTTTGTAGAGGCAACTACTTTGCGGGTGCCATAGGGTCACTTTGTTAATGTGCAGGCCGTTCCAAGACATCGCACGTGTATAGTATCCACGGGTAGTTTCCAAGCCGAACCCACCCTTTCTGCGCACGGCCGGAAGCTTGAGGCATGAATGCTTTGGCATGATAAGCACGCCCCAGCGCTGCACACACAAGAAAAATAGCAATCAAGACCCCACAGACCCAGGGAACGGTGCCCGTCGTTCTTTGGGACCAAGTTGTGGTTGCCACGCGCATATCTTCTCTTTGCACCTTTCTGAAGCCAAAGCTCTAGAGACTCTAGCGAGACACGTCTCCCAGCGACGAGCATTAATTACCCCAAGAAATAGGCGTCGTCCAAGCTGAGGGCGAATGCCAAGCTATGGAACCTAGTGGCACAGGTCGTTCTACACGAGTAGCCAAAAGATTCAAGTGGAGCAGGCAATTGAGGAAGTCCTTCCACCGATATCACAGAAGTGGATTCATGTGCGACATGGAGCTGAGCAATCTGTCGCGTATGTCCATCAAAACATTCGGAAGCAGTTCAAACAACCACAACGACCCCCAATACAAATCCCCCAAAAACGCACCAATTGTCGACCCAGAGTGCTTTTGCCCGTGCGCCAGTAGAACCTGTGCATGCATGTGGGCATTGCTGCGGCTCTCTCGATTGAAATCGACATCTCGCTATGATGTAGCAGGAAGTTGACCCGCACTCTTACTGATCATTTAGGACGTAGGAAGCTTTTGGAAGACTTCTTAAATGCCAGAATGATGTGCATTTGCGTTTGCATCGGGACACTTTCAACTGCGTATGCATTTGGCCGAGCATGTCACGGGATCAGGCGAAAAATGCCAGCGCCCATGCCCCCGGGCACTGTGAGCTAACGATATCATAAAACATTTTGAACGTGAACGGTGAGCAAAGAGACGGCCAGCCATGCACACAGAAGCTTCACCACTTTGAATCCCCCCTGCTATAAACAAAAAGTGCGAACAGAATGCGAAGGAAAACAAAAACAAATAAGTTGAGCTTCTTTTGGGCGCACCCTTTTTTAAACTGAAGGAGGGTGAAGAAGCTGTTCCAGAGCGTGGACGCTTCGGGGGACGGCACGCTGAACCTGGAAGAGTTCGCGAAGTTGGTGAGTTCTCCGAAGCTGAGATTTTGGATGGGCCAGCTGGAGCTGGAGTATCACGACCTGCTGAGCCTCTTCGAGTTCTTGGACCCCGATTTTTCGGTTAGCTCCGGTGGCAAAAAAAACAACAAAAACGTGCGTGGGGCCAACCCGAACGAAGGTTTCGCCAACTTCACATCTTGCTTGTGGCAACTCTGACTAGATCATTTTGCGTCAGGGGGATGCTATAATGTTGAGATAGCACGAAGTGCCACCAATTGCTAAGTGTGTGAGTTTTCGGGATCCAATCCGATAGAATCCGAAACTCTGACGCGGGCTTTCGGGACCAGCCCTAATTTGGACGGAGCGTTCGGCGGAACCGTTTTCCTGCGCGAAGAATAAAATTCGATTCCGGCCCACTTGAAGCTTTATCTAATATGCGGATTCGTCCTCAATCCCGCAGAGCGGCCACCTACAACTACCCTTTCCCGCAGACCACCTTCTCCCGCCGACGTTAACAGTGCCTTGTGGCGTGAAGGGGGGGATGTAGGGAACGACAAAATGGATGGGACTTCTTTTTGTTTTGTCCGGCCCGTTTTCACACAACGCGAAGCCCACCCTCCAGTTTTGACAGGATACTTTCCATTCAGGCAGGTAGTAGGCCCCTGATCAAGCATTGCCTCAACGCTTCAGTCGTGCTGGATGAGGTAGCATTGTTTCTATGTAGTCTCACGTTTCAGCTGCTGACACGAGATCGACCCCTCACGCTGCAATGAAAGGCTGCAGGTGTTTTTTACAGCATCTGAGGGCGCTTAGAAAACGAGGATGTTTTCTAGCTGAGAGCCTACAGTAGGATAACTGGTCAAAAGTGCTTCATGTGGAGATGAAAGCCAGGATGAGCTTGTAATCAGGGCGATTGAGGCTTTCAACCCCTCTCTATGCGCGTCTCGCTGTGGCGCCATGCAAATTTGTCAAAGAGCTCGTCCGCAGCTGCGGCTCAAACATCCCAACTTTTAAATTGGTAAGTATGCGGAGTACATGCGCAGCTACGGCTCGAAAATCGCAACTTTTCAGCACGAAAACAGCACGCGGCAACTGCAAGTGCAAAAGCTGTGCGCGAAGTGAAATTCCCAGCTGCGGCTCAAAACTCGTAACTTTTCAGCACGAACGTAGTACTGGTACACATGAGTAATAGACAACCCCCCCTACCTTTTCCTATGATCTATGTGGGCCCCTGTTTGGCCAATAGGACGGCAAACAGGAAAGTTGCAGGAAGTTGCGTTTTGTTTTCCAGGGTCGGAGGGGGCCAGGATCAATGAGAGAGGGTATTGTTTTTGTGGGGGGAGAGCGGGGGCTTGTCAAACCTTGTTTTGAAACTGTATTTGTTGCTTCGGGATGTTTGTGTCTGAAGCAAGGTGCAGGTGAATGACAGGCCTATACCGAGGGGTTTTCAGTTGGTGATTGTTGAACACATTCCTTTCTGTTGTTCTCTCGCAAGCGGAACGTCTGCTGGCACTCAGTCTGCTGCGGGTGAGGGCCGTTCACCCTAGTAATTGTGCACCGGCCATCAATTCTTCACAATTCACTTCCCCCCCCATCGAGTCCCAGAGCACCCCTCAACCAGCAGTTTTGGTCCTTTGCAGGACAACGGCGACGGGCAGATCACCCTCAACGAGTTTCTCAGCCCTATGCGCGCCGACCTTTGCGACCTTTTGGTGACCTTTTCTGACCTTTATAGTCCCCTTTTTTGGTCTGAGCCTCCTAGGTCCCCCAGTGGTCTTTTACCCGAGGGCCTAGTCTCTGTTTCTGACATGGGCCCTAACGGTTCGCCGTTTGTTTCTGGGTCGCTGAGGTTTTTGGAGGGTGCCGCCCGGCTCAAGGGCAACGCCAAGGCGTTGGATATTTGGCGAGTGGAGACCAAAGTGGAGGCCTGGGATTCGTCGGATTCTCGTGGAAACGGGGGACACCAAAAATGGCTTGCGTGTAAAACCCCTCCAACTGGGGTACCAAACCCTCCCACTAACATGGCACCATGGCACCTGCGGGGAGGTACCTGGATCAATTTCCTCTTGAAGTGACCCCCTGTGCCATATTGGTGGGATGGAGGGTACCCTCAAAAAGACAACCCATGAACAGAGGGAGCTGGCTGACTGACTATCTGGCTGGTCGCCTAAACTGCCACGTGTTACTTCAAGCCAGCTGCCCCACCAACATCCCATTCAAGGCTGCCTTAACATTTTCGCACGCAATGTGTGTGTGACTCACAAATCACCCTCCAAACAGTAGCAATTTGTGCCACTTGTCAAGCATTGGAGCGCTGGAAATAGGTGAGGCACATGTAAACCACTGCGTGCAGGGGGCCCGCGCGCGGCGCGCGCATGCCTTTTTTCGGCCTTTCCTGGGTGCATCCTTACATTGTTTGAGGGTACCATTTTTGGGATTGTTTGGAGTTGAAGGGAAATTGAAGAAAAGAAGCCAATCTGATTGGTCCCCTATTGTAAGACACGCACCCGCGTCGCAGGTTCTTTTCGAGGAAGTCTTGCAGGCTTTGAAGGGCGATCGTCACAGGACCTCGGTGAAAGCAGCCTTCGAAGGCTCAAACTTTAGGCACATCAAGACCAACGCGCCGGAGGCCGGAGTTTTTTGGGGGAGTTCCGAGTCTCAGTGCTCATATGAATCATGTCTGAATGTGTTCATACTGTTTATTTTGTTTTGTTTCTGGCCTTGTCAGCTGCACAGTTCACCGGCTGGTTTGTGATGAAGCAGTCATTCCCAAACCTGAGGAACCCCTCAATTCAGCCGCTTTGTGGCATCTACAACCTCATCAAACCTGTGGGCATTGAGTGCATCGCTGAGTAAACGATACGGTCATCCCAATCCAATTTGTATTTTGACTGCAGCAGCGACTGCAATTGCCGGGTGTTGGGTTTTTTGGTGCCTCCCTAACATGGGAGTTGAAGCCCGTACTTGCTGGTCCCAAAGAATTTGTTTTCTCTAGCTGTGTGGTCTCGCTGTCCTTCGACTGTGAATCCCTTTGCAAAGGCGAATTGCTAGCTGTGCTGGCTTCTTGAGCAGCTTGCCATCACCGTGGCGACGACGTGGTCCAGAGATTGCGGCTCATTGAATTCATTGTACAGGAGCAGGCTGGGTCCAGGCCATTCTTCAGCTCAGCTCACAGATGCTCAACGTCAAGTAGCCCTTGGCGGCTTTGGCTTCGCTCTGACAGGATCAACGGTACAGCATTGCAACAGTCCAGTCACCAATCTAAGCGTGGCTGAGACGTGCTCATCCACGGGCCCAGCCTGCGCACGCATTCACACGCTTCTTTATACAAGAAAGCGCTCAGGTCTCCGACAATGCTTCAGTTGGGGGCATGCAGCACTGCTTTTGCACACGTTCGGTGCAAACCCGAGCGGATGCCACCCACAGCAGTTTGGATTGGCAGTTGTTTCTGGTTGCACTCTGACAAGGACAACGGCATTGCAACACAGCAAGCCAGCCCAATCACCAATCCAAGTGTGGCTGAGATGAGCGCAGGGCGTGCAGCACTGCGTTTGCGTTCCCAGTTCGGGTGCAAACCGAAAACGGACGCCACTCATACGAATTCATTGCATGCTTTATTTTGGGCTACTGCAAAGGGCCCCGTCACTTGCCTGCATGGGAGATTTATGCTCCGTCGCGAAAATTATGCGGATCCAGGGCTTGGGAGTTATCGGGGCGTTCTTGCAACGAATTTTGGGCTTTTGGGATGGACCCATGTTGAACGTTTGTGGCTGCCGAGTTTGGGAGAGAGAGTACTGTGACCTTTTGGGGGCACAGGGAAAGACTCATCGGCCTAAGGCTGTCTCCATCCGGCAACCTAGTGCTCAAGCGGTCCGGAATGCTAGGACCTCCTCGGAACTGTTTCATACTCGGCAATCTGAGCAGAATGTTTTGTGGACAAGTGAGTCAAAAGTGGGCTTGCCATGTGCCAGACCCGTGCTCGTTGGCTTGCAGGACTCTTCTGGAAGGGCGCTACCGTTTGTCCGGTGCCGCGGACTCACCATGGCACTAGCCGAGTTTGTGGTTTCCAGGGCGCCTTTTGCGGTTGCGCCCTTTGCGAGAAGCTCACATTAAGTCCTGCACCAGAGGCCACGTGGCATTATTCCCCGCCAGATGGGGCAGGGCACCTAGTGCTTAGCCCTGCCAAATGGCTGTGGGTCAAAACCAATGGTACCATTTTGGGGTAGGTGCACCACCCATTTGAGTCTATGTTTGTGGGGATTGGGATGTTCACAGGGGGTACGGGATTTTGACCCATGGCCAAATCACGAGAGTTTGACCCATGGCCAATTCGAAGGTGAGTTCAGATGTTGCAGACCGGTGCAGGCGCAGAGCCGAGCCATTGCCGCCGATGCATCGTCGCTGGCCGAGCTGCTTGGGCTTGGCGCTCAAACAGATCAGTCAGATGCAAGCTGACACATGTTCCCCTGTTTCTGGTATGCATTTGTTTTTTGGCGGAACACGGCTCCCCTTTTTTCAGAGAGCTGTGACGAGGCACAGACTTCGATGCGTTGCTAAGTGGGTTGTAGGTTGCCCATGAGCGCGCGTGCAGGATGTAAGCGCTCAAAGTCCGGGTGCCAAATATATAGGGAATCGAATGGATCGCTCACATTTGCCACAGATTCCAACGCTGGAAAGGAGCAGCAGAAACACCGCGAGAAGAGTTGCACTGCAGGAAGCAGCTGGAAATGAAAACTTGACCTTGCCTCAGAGGATTGGAGCTTTCGATTTTCTCTTTTTTGCCTCCGAAAGTAAGATATCAATTGCAGGACGATTGACATGTTTGGCATGTTTTGTTCTTGCCGATTGAGTTGGCAGTGAACGAATGTGCACAACTTGAGTATTTTCTTCACAAGGGCGGAGGAGCAGTGTCAACACCTATTAAATTATAAAATAGTGGTATAATCAGTAATAATGAGTACTTTTTGGGCAGACCTAACATAGTTTGCCGCATAAGCTGATTTCGGGTGTAGACCTACTGCAACCTGATTGCTGCAGGTTTCAGCAACGTGGCGGCGCTGGAAAGAGCCTGTTGTGGATCTCAGCAATGTCACGGATGTCAGCAGGGTGCATTTAGATGGGAAGCTCATGCTTGAAGCTTTCGGTTTCATGCTTGACCTCACCCCGCAACATCGCCGGGAAAGACTAGCTGGTTGAGAGAGTGCGTTGTCGAGCAGACCGAGGAACAGCTTGTTTAAGACTTGCCATTTCGATATGATTGAAGGAGCCGGCCACGGACGATACAAAGAGAAAGCCAAGCAGGCTAGTGAAAATGGCAGCATTAGCTCTTCTGGCAAGTAGCGTCAGCTTTCAGAAACATACCTTATCATGCCTTAAGTTAAGATAACTCCTCTTGGAATGTATCATGTCTTAGGGGGGTGCACAAGGTCACAAGGCAGTTGTGATAATGTTCAGACTTAATGAAATTCCACTTTTTTCGGAGGACGATTGCCCGAAATCTGCCTTGGAATCAGAAGTCGGCACGCTCGCTCCTTGCAGCCACTTGGATTGCAAGCGATGCAGCGAGCAAAAATGTGCAAGAGACAAGAGAACGCACCAAAGCTGCAGGCATCGGTTTGAGTTGGGGGGCACATTGCAGCAGTCTCTTCATCCACCAGCTTATGCAGAGTAGCCATGCAGCATTTGCGCACCGCATCTGAAGGAGCTGCAAAGTTGGGTTAAGAGCTGAAAGTAAGTTGCACACTTTTCCAATACAAGTCTAGATTCATTTGGGACCGGGCATGCCCTGAGAGCCTGCCCGGCATGCCGTCGAAAAGCCTAGCATCCTTGCTGCACACAGGGCAGTCAGAAGTGGACGAGAGTGCTGGTCCGGGAATGAAGCCAATGAGCCTCATTTGCCTGCATGGCGTCAATTGACTCGTGTCATTTGAGTGGACAGCTCTGTGGCCAAATAGAAAGTTGGACCTCGCTGAGGTGGTCCGCACCATCAGCAAGGCCGCAGATGAGTTGCGGCGTGAAATGGCAAAGTGCTTGATCATACTTGATCTCAAGAAATGTTAGCAATAGTTGCAACTGGTGCTGAAGAAAGCGCAAGTGGAAAAGTTTCGAAATGTGACCGGAATGCTTGCAACATGGCTTCATTTGTAGGGGAACAGCAATGATTGTTGCATTAGGCTCGCTGATTGCGCTTGTTTGGGGTTCTTGCTTGCTCGTCCTTTGTCCGGTGAACTCGGTAACTCGAAGCCGCCTGTGCCAAAGCAATCAAAGCACAACTGAGTTTCCTCAGCACAATTCACTCATTCAAATCGCTGTTATTCTTAAATGACAATGACGCCGAATGACCCCGGAAAAAGTCCATCAACTGGTGGTTTCCTAGGGGACCAAAGCCTGGGTTTCCGGAGGCGCTGCTGGGGGCTGTGCGCAACCCGGCGCTGGTGCTGCTGCTCGTGCGCGTGATCGAGGCGTGGAGATCGCGCGCGGATCCGCGCGGATCCGCGGTGTGTGACCGATGTTGCAGCCTGACTGCAAAACTCAAGAATCACAGACTGCAAGTACAAAGCACATGTGGGCGTCTCTTTTTTTTGCAGGGTACCATTGTTTTGGGGGTCTCAAAGGGTAACCAAAATGAAACCCACCAATGTGGGGGTCTCCCAAACAGAAAAAAGCTGACTCATGTCGGTTGTATTTCTTGGCTCTCTTCTTAATCTTGATCATGGGTATGAGTCAAGCAACACATCATTCCCTGTGGCGTGCTGACAAAAACGGGGACTAGCAAGTTGGGAACACTGCTCTCTTGCATGCGGTGCGGGTGCTCCTTTGCTTGTCAACGCATACCTCGCCGAGGCCAGAGGTGGACACATGGTTTTTCTTATTTTTTCTTGGTCTCTTGAGCCATGGGAGCCCAACGGCTGTGGATTTGTTCGCAAGATGAGCCATGAGAGCAGGGAAAGCCACGGCTGGCGCATGAAATTGCCAACGATTGGAGCCGAGCCACTTCGGAAATATGGATAACTTTGCACTCCCTTTGGACAATGTCACCGGCAGTGTGTCTCTCGTGTACCACAAGAAGCAGTTCCATGCCCGTGCGGCAAATGCTCATGACAATGCATGCCAGGGTCTTACCCTGTGTGGAGACCCCTTTCCTGTTGCCAGACAGTGGTTGAAACCTTTGTTGGCCAATCCTGCATGGGCAGAGTCAGTTAGGCATCATGGACGGACTGACTGCCCAACTGCCCCGCAGTTCCTGGTCTCGCTCTGGGCAAGGCGCGATGCAGTGACTATGCCCAGTTTCATTTGCTCTTGTTTTACGCATCCAGGGGCTTGAGATGGGGCCATTCCCCTTGACCACAAAAAGCCTGGGTCATTTTAGGACATGAGCATGGCACGCAGTGTGACGGATGTGGATATGGGTGCGGCTGTTTTGAAAATGGGGGGGTTGTTCGTTTGGTTTCCTTAAAGACCACGCAATAAGGGATTCCCTAAAAAAAAAACGCACCTATATACGTGGACCACTGTCACATTGACGTGGCTTCCGCCAAGCGCAGTGCCAGCGCCCTGAGCCCGAGCTCGCAGGTGGCGTAGGCATCTGCACTCTCGCAGACAGATCTCATGCCCGGAGGACGAGCTGGAACTTGCCAGAGTCTCAGAGGGCCTTCAACTTGCCGGTTCGCGCTTTAGGGGGACCCCGGGTTCATTCTCAAGACCCTAGGTCATTCCATACTGGGAACCAGTGGGGGAGAGCAGCAAAAGACCTTGCGCACAACTCCAAATTCGAGCCGAGAAGCGGCCAGCAGCTTCCCAGGCGATTTGTGTTTGGTTCGGCTGAGGACCTGGTGCAAGGTGCGGGACTTTGGTTGGCCTTCAGCGCACGGGCCGGGAAGATGTGTAGTTTCGGCACATCTTTTCCGCGGCCCAGTTTCGATCTGGAAGTTGTGGCTGCAGATTAGACTCCTTGTTGCTTAGGTGTGTTTGCCTTGTTTGAGTGAATTGGCAGATTTTGACACCCCTTTTGGCGCTATGTGCTTGGAGGTTGGGCGCCCCCAACGTACACACCTACAATTGATTTCAGCAGTGGTTGTAGGAATTCATGTTATGACCTCAATTGCAAGTTCACAATGCAACTGGAGTTTGCTTTGCGCAAATAGTTTGCTAAGCGGAGTCATTGCAAGACATTCCCAAGATTTCTGGTGGGGACACACACGTTTAAGATCTCACGCCCGCAGGCACAATGGGGTTTCAAGGGCTTTGCATGAACATGATGCGTGTTGCCTTCTTAGTCTAGATGCAAGGAGCTAGGCCCGGGCTTGAACGATTTCATGAAGACTGCAGGCTGCCTTCTGACTGCAGAGAATCTGTTGAACATGGGCCGCGTGGAGAAGAGGACGCTCTTCCAGGCCGAGGGGCTTCTATGCGCTCGCGAAAAATCCAGGAGTGACCTAGGCAATGCTAAAGCGAATCAAAACACGGGGAATTTTCGTCTCCATATGGCGGGCCTTGCCGCATGCCATGCTCATTCTTTTGCAGAGGAAACGTTGAGCTTGGGCCATGGAGCCGTTTGACAGGATCGGACCTTGCAGAATACTCTGTAATGCAAAGTGCAGATGTTTTGCTGTTTGTCATGGGCTTCTTCCAAGCAAGCCATTGGCCGACCGATTTGTGCAATCTTGACAAAACCAGTCATTGGCTGTGATTCGGCGTGCAGGTGTCTGCCAGCAAGCTCCTGGCGCACAACGAGCATCTCGTTGCAATGCTCAAAGACGCAGCTCGCCGATGCCATGAGGGAAGCTGCATCCTTAGTTGTGAAGCTTCCGTAACGGAGGGAGTGAGCATCAAGCGGGTTGCGCGTCGCTCGATCCCCTTTGTCTTGAAAACAAAAAAAGCACGATCTGTCGTTTGATTCGTCATGCAAGGGGCTCCTTTCAGCACACGGTAAGGTCATAACAGTCTGGTGACGCGATGGCTCCCCCGGGATGAGCGCTACCACATCCTGCAAGCTTCGGTGAATGCCATGAGTTGCCCGGCGCCGGACTGGGAGCCATGTGGCTTAGCCCGTGCATTCCATTGAATCAGGGAACCATTGCCCTTTGTGAAAGTGTTGAAGTTGTTCATGATGGCAGAGGGCTTGTTTTGCTGTAATAATTTCTGCGCATTCTAATGCATAATATGTACATGTGTATGTGTGCAGCTGTGTGTGCATATCGCGAGGCTCACTGTTTGGCCCAAACTACGTCCATCAGAATGCCTTGGGAGAAGCCGGGGCCGACCTGTTCAAGTCCACTTGGAGTCTTGGCCTGGTCAAAAGCACGAAGCCAGTGAGATGGCCATGGGTCAAAAGCCCGGTTAGCCCCCAGTGAACTAGACTAAAATGGGCGGTGCACCTACCCCAAAATGGTACCAAAACGGTTTTGACCCATGGCCAGATGCCAAAAGGCTCATTCGATATCGGCAATGGGATTTGTATCGGTCGCTACCAGGTACTGCGTGACCATTATGACACCTGTGCGCTCCAAAAACCATCTTCCCGACGAGCAGCAGGCCAGGAAGTCAGCTGGGCACAGCCCCCTAGCCCTAAGCAGAAAGCGCTTCGGGCAGTTTTACTTACCAGTCCGTTTGTGGATTTGTGGATGGTAGACCTTCAGTTGTCGTTCCGTTTCTGCCCAACGGAATCCATGTCTTTCCTTCCTCTGCCTGTTGGGTCGGAAGAATTTGGCTGTGGGTCAAAGCCAACGGTACCATTTTGGGGTAGGTGCACCACCCATTTTAGAACTTATTTTGGTGGGGATTGGGATGTTCACTGGGGGTCTAACCAGGATTTTTTGACCCATGGTCATTTCTCTGGTGCTTCCACCGGCTTCCTTCCACGGGTGATGGGGTGGGCAAAGTCGGAGGTGTCGCAGACCTCCCAGAGCCTCGAGACCTGCACCTTCTCGGACATGACGCGGACCCCGCGGCCCACGGTGCGACGCTCGTCGAATTGGTGGGGGCGGGCTCTCGGGGGGCTCGAACATTGCGTAAACTGCTGGAAGCTAAACAACAAACATTGGCGACATAGGACGCCGATCTCTTTCTTA